GAGAAAGAGTAGACCATGTAACAACGGAGAATCAAACATTACAGCAAAGATAACATCTAAAGTGCTTGTAAAACATTACACGTGAAGCATACCACTGCAAAACACATCACAAGAAGAAATAGGTAAAGCATAGAAACATCACGAAGTGCACAATATAATTATAAGTACCAACCTCAATCCAATTCACACTATAGCATCAAATTCAAATACGCATAATCAAAGTCCAACAAAACACCAAATAACATAAAAAGCATCATAACAAAGAAAACAAAACAATCTTAGATGTGTCAATTCACAGGAAGATCTAAGGAGTGCGCAATATAATCTTAAACACAAATAACCATCCATTGCAAGGGATCACATAAAAATCCATAACATCCTATACAAGTTAGCAAAACCCACAACCACTACACAGAATCCTAATCCAGTCTCAAGAACTTTCTGTTATTGAATGAGGTATCTTTCCTACCCTTTGTTCTTGGTGTCACGAATGTCAAATGAGACTAATGACGCTCAAACAAAAGTGTTAGAAAAAAGGAATAGGGGGGAAGAAAATGAACAGGGGAGAAGAAGAAGAATAGGAAAAAAAGCTTAAACATCTGGTGAAATGGTGAAAGAAGAGATCCCACCTCAAATCTGCAATAGAACCCGTATCCCTTTCCTCCTCCAGCCAATTTCTCCTTCCTCTCCTCTACTCCCGACACCTGGGTGAGCAGCAAATTGTGGCGTAGGTGTGCTAGGGAAAAAATCGTGAATCGAAATGAGGGAGAGAAGGAAAATATGCATTTTTAAGCAGGCCAATATGAGTGCACAAGGTTAAATCGCGGGCTTGTCAGACGCTCTGTGCGGTAGAGTGCGTTCTGGTTGCGGCACGAGTGCGCCCCACTAGGTTGGGTAGCTCAGTACGCTCAGTTGTGGCGCAAAGATGCCGTGCTCTCTATCTGCCCAGCATAGGCACGGCAATCCCAACTCCCAAAAAGAAGGGTTCTCTCTCCTCCAATCCACATATACATTCACCTATCTCAGGTCAAGAACCTAAACATGCTCTAACATAGCAACCAACGACTCTAAGCACATGAAAAGCAAATTCAAAGCAAGAATAAGAAACAAAACACAGTCAAACACAACTCAAATTACAGGATAATGCTTGAGTTGAATCTCAAACATAGGTTAAGACATGATATACATAATTCTCAAAATCAGTTTAGATTTATCGGCCAAATCTACTATGAAAGCTTTACTTTTACTGGGAGGTTTGATGGAGAAGTATAGAGATAAAAAAGAGGATCTATATACAATTTGTTGATTTAGAAAAAACTTACGATAAGGTTCCAGGAAACGTACTTTGGAGAGTTCTAGAAAAGAAAGGTTTTAATACGACTTTTACTCAAGTCATTAGAGATATGCACACTAGAATTGTTACTTGTGTTCGAGCAAAAGGAGGGTTGACAAAATATTTTTCAATTTCAGTTGGATTACATCATGGATCGGCTTAAAGCGCATATCTTTTTCCTTTAGTTATAGATGTTCTTACTAGACATTTACAGGAGGTTGTACATTGGTTTATGTTTTTCGCTGATAATATCCTTTTTGTTAATAAGACTAAAAAAAAGTCGGGAAAAACTTGATCAAAAACTGAATATATGGAATGTAATTTTAGGAGTAGCTAATTTAATGGTAGGGTTGTAAACATGGGTGATCAAGTCACTAAAAGGAGTGAATGTTTTAGATATCTCAGGTTTATTGTTCAAAGTGATGGTGATATAGATGGAGATTTTATTAATAGAATTCAAGCTGGATGGCTGAAGTGGAGTGATGGATTGGGTCTATTGTGTGATAGAAAATACGACATGGACGTAAAAAAAATTTATAAGATGGTGGTGAGACCTGCAATGCTTTATGGTGTAAAATGTTGGCCTATAAAGGGAAGCATAAAACTAAGTTAAATGTTGTGAAGATGAGATGATACCAAAACTAGTTAGACAAATAGCAGAAACACACATAGCAATTTTTTATTGATGTAGAGAGAGGATCACAGCACAACACAAAACATGAACAACACAAGCAAACACCTCTAAGGTTTATTCAAAGAGCGGTGGAGATCGGCCAGGTGGGTCGGGATGGTTGGCAGGGTGCTGCCAGCAATGGAATGCTAGTTGCAACAAGGGGAAGGTGCAGAACTGCATGGACAGCAATGGTGGAGGGTTGGGCAGCAGGTTTTGCTGCAGAACAGCGGTGTCCGGGGCTAGGATGAAGGCTGAGGAGGGGGACAGCAATGTTGGACTATAGAGAGAGGGTGGTTGAAGGCTGGGGTGACGTCCGGGGAGCTGGAAAGCAGGTTATGCCGCAGGGAAGGGCTCCAATTGAGTGCTGGGAGGAAGTCTGGGAAGCTGGACAGCAGGTTATGCCTCGGGGAAGGGCTGGTTGGGTGGTGGGAGGAAGTCCGGGAAGCTAGACAGCAAGGTTATGCTGTTGGGAAGGATCAACTGGGTGCTGGGAGGAAGTTTGAGAAGCTGGACAACAAAGCCATACTGTTGGGGAAGGGCGGTTGGGTGTTGGCTTGAAGGGGAGGCCGGCGACGGAGGGGTAGGAGAAGGGTTAGGTAAGCGTAAAAAGGAAGATACAACACCACCTCAGAGTATGATACAGTTGGAGCATCACCACTTCCTTGGATACAGCCTTACAAAAAAGAAAAGATCTCTATATAGGAAATCTAAAAGCAAAAACAGCAAAAACTAAAGAAAACTCTTAAACCCGCTATTTATAATGAGGACTAGGACTTATTTTAGGTAATTTTTAAAATAAGAAAGAAGAATAAAAATAATAAGAAATCAGATTCAGGAAGTGATGAATATACTAATATAATTTTAGATTAGGCATGGATGAATTAACTAATATAATTTTAGATTAGGCAAGGATGAGTAAAATAAATCAGAATTTAGAATTGGTAAAAACTTATAATAGGATGTATTAGGAAAGAAAGGGAGGGGTGTAGGGTCCCCCCCCCCTCTCTCTCTCTTAAAAACCGGCCTGTCCAGCAAAGTTGGACCGAACTCTCCAAGCCAGTCCTCCATAGCCCCCGCGTCATGAGAATGCTCAGCTGGATGAGTGGCTTTACACTTAGAGATAAAAGGCGAAACAAATATATCCATGGAGAGTTGGTATAGCTCCAATGACATACATTATTAGAGAGACTCTTGTTAAATGGTTTGGTCACATTAATCATCGACCATCTGATGACTCAATTAGGAGAGTAAATGTTATAGATTTGACTTATGTTAAAAAATGTTGAGATAGACAAAAAAAGCACTCTGACATGTTGTATAAAAAATTATATTAATTTATTAAGAATTAAATGAAATTATGACACTAAATAGGACACAATCGAGAAAAAGGATTCATATAGCCAGCCCCACTTCGTTAATAAAGACTTGCTGTTGTTGTTGTATCCCTTTTCATTACAAATCACAGCACTTCTTCTTGCATGCATTAAAACTCAAAAGTTGTTCTCAAAGATAAAAATTATCCAATATTCATGCATTAAAATCCGCAAAACTGATTAGTTAAATAGCCATGTAATAGATCACCTTATAAATTAGTTCATGACTTTTTACGAGCATACAAATTGGTCCTCCTCTCAAAATAAATACATCTATTTCATAAACTACTTCAACATTTTCTATAACTGGAAACGCTGTGATTTTCAGCAACAAACCGCTTGAAAATACGAAGCATACACCAATTCATTGAAGATTTGGATAAAAACAGTATGCTATGTGCACCATGCATTCTGCCTGAGAGCATTTATCCTTCCACATATTTCTCTTATTTTGTAGCAACTGAGATTCTTGCATACCGAGACAGTGAAAAGATTTGGTTGTTTGTACTGTTTATCATGAGAAGTAAAGTAGACACACAGAATTAGGCGAGTAAAGAAAAGGGAAATGATATAATGAAGCATAAAGCTTATTTAAGAAGTTTACATATAGCATTTTGAAAGGGAAGCTGGCATTATAGTGAATGATTTTCCCAAAAAAAAAACAGGCAACTGCCACATACTTTTCTCTAATGGAGGCTCTAGGCATTTCTGATGGAAGCCACAGTTGCAATTCCCATCACAAAGAATTATGTCGTTATCATGAAAGGCTTCTGGTGATTTGCATTTTGCACAGAAGATCTAAGGGGAAAATACTGTGATGTTACTGAAACTTTTCAAAGAAAGCAATTATCTAATCAAGAAGCAAAAGTCAATGTCATGCATACATGTTCATGAAAAACAGATCCATCTGGATGCATAACAGAGTCTTCAATTCTTCCTTCGGAGCCAAGCAAATCCAACTGATGGATTGAATCCCGGATACCAAGTTTAAATTTCAATATTTGTCTCTGTGCTCTCTGCAGCTCCTTTTCAGGCTTAATTTTTTCACGACTGAAAAGACATTTTTTATGAGATATATTTTATCAAAGAACAGTATTAGGCAGAGCATGACAATTAATGCAAAAAATAGTTTAACTTGTTCTTAACCATTTTACATCCTGACAAAAACACAATATCACTGTGAATAAGGGAAAATAAAATAAAAACTTAATTACACCATCATTGGAGTTGAATACTTCAAGATTAGTTTATTTTCAAGATCCCTTGAATCAAATAGCTCATCTTACGTAATGACTACAAATATTTTTGACAAACCTCCAAAATTATGAATAATTTTCTTGGTATAGAATTAAATTTAAAAATAAGAAAACAAAGTTACTGCATACTTGAGTAGAGCATCCTTACAAAATAAAAAAATTTTAGTTTCCACTCAATTCTAAAACCCACTATATAATCTGAAAATAAAGAACAAATCCTAAGAATTACATGGAATTGATTGGTACCGAACAAACACCTTTAGAGGCATAACCAATAAAGGAATTAGGGGGTGCTTGAGGAGGCACTCGCCGCCCTTAGATTTTTACTAAAATCATTAATATCATATAATACACTAAAAAATTTGATTCATAAACTTAAATACATAATAATAATTTAGTATTAATTAAAATTTTAATTTAAGAATCATGTTTTTAATAGTTTTTAAGAGTTTAAAAAGACGAAAATTTAAACTTAAATACTCGACACCTCTTGATTATTGATTTCACCACCCCTCTCCTTGAGTTTAGGTTCCCCCACTAGACATAAGGTGTATGTTCTTGTATCAGGAATAAAGTCAACAAGCTCTAGAAAAACAAGGAAAAAGAAGAATGCTGCAAAGATTGCATGATAACATTTAAAGAGAACAAATGTAGATGTTACAGAGCTAGCAGGCATAACGGATTGAAGTGCTTTGAAGAGAAGGAAACCTATCAATAATAACTTTTTATAAAACTATAGCATTATACTGAATTAAAATGCAACATTTTTCAGGAATTTTTGAAAAAGAATGATTAACGTAGATGAAAATTGTCAAAAAAAACGGTCAAATTAATAGCATAATAAATTTTCTAAAAGTTAGAAGGGTTGTACCATTATGGTTTAAGCCGCCAATTGAAAAGTTATTGAAAAGGCTTTAAGGCAGGAATTGGCATGCACGGCCAAGCAAGTTCAAACAAGACGTCAAGAAGATATCATTGTTTCTTTTATCGATTCTCTCCTTTATTTTGAATGGTTCTTTCAATCGTACTATAGAAATCCTGTGTTTAAGAAAGTCTGGAAATACCTCTGTCCTTTCCATCCATCCGCAGAATAAGCATCGATAAGATTCTGCTCCAGTTTCATCTTAATCAGAAGGTATCTTGCTCTTCTTTGCATACGAGAAACTTCATCCTGCACAATATTCTTCTTCCTTCTTTTAAGCCTTCTCCTTCTAACAGAATTCTTTTCAGAACTTTTAGCCAAATTTTTTGAGTTCTTTCCCACGGAAAAACAGCTTTTTCTTCCTGTCAGTTTGAGGGAACTAATACACTTACCAATATTGCGGTCGAACTTCTTCTTCAGTGTTTCAATTGACTTGCCATTTACATTATTCTTCCTTTTGCATGCCCTTTTCTTCCGGTACGCTGGTGTCAAATAGCACCGTTTGTTGTGGACAATTTTAATACCATTGGGGTTCCTTGGCATGGAAACGGTTTTAGAGTTTTCCTCATTGGAAAAATATTCTCTGGACTTGTATCCAATCAACTTCTTTTCAGGAACTCGCATTTTAGAATAATAGAAGTATTCATGAATCTGAAAATTGAAAAAAATAAGCAACAAAAAGACTAACGCTCAACAATAAACTCAGCCTAGTTACATGAAATAAAAAAAATTCTGAAAATAAATCAAGGATCACCTAAATCATCAAAAATTTAAATGCAGTTCATTGTTCTTTTCAAGCTACAATCGCTACCAGGTCTCTTTATCTGTATATCTTATTTATCATCTCTATCCCTATTAGGAAAAACAATTAAACCATAAGTGTAGGCCAAATGTTAATATGTCCAGCCCAAAGCCATCCTCCCAATTTTCGAGATGCATGTATTTCTCCCATGTAATCAGAGAAGGCAATATATTACAATTTAATGGGGAGAAATACTTCAAAATAATTGGAGATCAACCACCAAAATTGGAGAGAGCAGGAAGGTGGTCTTCCCGAATGCAGAATGTAAATGAATAAGCCAATTGCCCGGATGAATTTGAGCTCCACTAGAGAATTGCCTTAAGAGACTTTTGGGAATTTCCTAAGATCGATCATTCACCTTAACTTAATATGACATCACAACACTTGCAATTACACAATTGAATGGACCCCCAGAGAAAGCCTGTATCAGCCGGTTACAAATAATAATAAACCAGGCGCTACAGCTAACACCAAGTCAGTAATCCTCACTGCAGGATGTCAAGAGCCTCACATCATCTTAACCTTGCATATTAAGCTACCTGATCTCATGTAACAGAAAAGATAGGTGTCTTTTCCTTTTCACTCCTCTTTTTCTATTTTAAAAACTGTAATCAGTATATGTTAATAAAAAATGGTTTCAATCGTATACCTTCTATCATCCTATTCCTTGTGCTTTATTCAAGTCCAGCATTCACTGTTTTGATTCCGCATATTGTCTGCATGGTATCAGAGCAGCTGCCATCAGGCCACAGAAATCTGTTCAAACCAAATGGAGCATACAGATCCGTCCTCTCTTCCAAGCAATCTAGCCTCCCTTCAAATTCATGACTGTCATACCTGCATCACTCAAATTCCACGTATCAAATATCAAAAATGTAGCTCATACATCCCTCACAAATGACAACAACCCCATATGGAAATCTCAAATCCCCAAAATTTCCAGAACAAATAACTTAAAAGGATTTGTTGATGGCATTACTATCGCCCAGTCGAACTGACAGCTGATTCAACATGACAACTCACTCCCAATCTCTTCTACTGAGCGTGGATGCTAATCAACCAAAAGCTTGGCGTTGCCCAGCTATCCACAATGAACACCAATATCCTAACCTTACATCCTTAATCTCGAGTTGTGTTCAAAAATCTAGGGAGTCACTGTATGTCGTCTATAATCATAAAGACTGCTCAAGGGTCATCTTAAAAATGAAATATCACTATGAACAATCAAACTATGACTCAATACCTCACAAAAATCAAAATGCTCGTTCACAACATCACAATAGACACCAAAGATATTATCCCGTACATCCTCAATGGTCTACCTCCTGCATATCAAGCTTTAAAATTGCAAATTGCACCAAAGTAATGCCTATCAGCCTCAATGACCTTTACTCACTTATATGCAGTGAAGAAATACAAATATCCACGCAACTTGCGAAGAAACCTTCAAATCCAGATACTACCACAGCACTATATACAACTCATAGCCAAGGAAGCAATCGAACTGCAGGAAGGCAGAACAACCTCACAACAATTCTATGCAATTCTATGCCACAAACCAAAGTCAATAAATCCCTCTCCTCAATCATTTTGTCAAATATGCAGCAACAGAGGACACACTGCCATCATTTAATGGTGGCACCTCAATCCCGATTAAATACCTACAGCTCAATCCAACACTAAAGCTCCCTTTGTATCACTCGTATCTCATACCAACGATTGATATCCTGACACAAAAGCTTACACTCATCTCACCTCCAATCTGAACAAACTTCACAATGCAAATAACCATACTCCGGCACTGATATAGTCTGCATAGTCAATGGCAACAACTCCAAACCATAAGTCTTAACTATCTCCCCTACTACACTCCTCTCATTTATCACGCAATCTTGGCTCCTGCTCTCAGCTTGCAGTTAGCAACAATTTCACTATCTCTTTTAACTTGAACGGCAAACAAATAAAAAACTTAAGCGCAAACAAGATAATCCTTCAAGGACTCTACCGTAATAAGTTCTACCCTATTTCTACACCATACACTGCTCATCCACACTACAACAGCTGTTGATCTCTAGCATAGACATCTTTGGTCGCCCCAATTCTCAGTCTACAGCAACACTCTCGAAACATAACAAGCATTTATATATCCCAAGTACCTTTTCTGTGCAACACATGTGAAGCTACTAAAATTCATCGTCTACCTTTCTCTCCCTCATGTAATCACTCATAAAAACCACTGGATTAATACTCTATGATGTTCGGGGACTGTCGCTCACACCTTCTCTACAAGTTTATCTCTACAATGTTATATTTGTGGATGACTTGCCATACTTTTCATGGGTTTATCCAATGATGAGTAAAACTGAAACCACTGCCCATTTCGTTAACTTCAAACATAGGGTTGAAATTCAATATGATTCTTGCATTAAAAGCCTACGAATAGATGGTGGTGGCGAATATAATAATCATCAACTCCTCAACTTTCTAAACAAAAAAGCTATCATACTTCAGATTACATGTCCTTACACAAAACACAAATACCGCTAGATACTCAAGACCATTTGTGCACTCTTACAAAAGCCAATCTAGCTCAATTCCAATGGGCTAGTACCTTACTTATAGTAATTTACAAAATTAAACGGTTACTATCTACCATAACCAATTCCAAATCTGCCTACTTTTTCCTAAACAATAACCCCACCCAACTACTATTACCTGAAACTCTATGGATGTGCCCGGTTTCCATGGCTCCCACCATCTCAATGCACAGAGCTAGATCCCTGTTCCATCCCCTGCGCCTTCACAGGCTACTCATCTCAACACCAAAGGATGGAAATGTTTTCATCCACAAAACGACAAAGTCATTCTATTCTGCCTTTTTCGTTTTTTTATGAACATACCTTCCCATACAAAAATCAAGCACATCATACTACATCATCTTCAACTCCAACCAGCTATAATCTCGTCACACTTATACCAACCACCATCACAACTAATATAACTTTACCTGCCTCACTACCAATAGAGCTAATATAGCCAATCCAACCTCTCCATCACATAATTCAGCTCCTTCCCCAGAACATCAGCAGCCAATACAATCAAATTCAGCTCCGCACTCAACCAATTCTCCACATTCAGCCAATCTTCCTCACTGTCCCATGATCACCGGATCCAAAACAAGTTTTCTCCCACCAAAACAAATACTTAACCCGCTTCATCATTCTCAACTTGAAATAGAACTCACCAACTACAATCAAGCAGCCAAACTATGCCATTGGAGACAAGCCATGGCCCAAGGATTTCAAAAGCTACAAACCCAAGGCACGTGGCAACTCATCCCACCTCGCCTCAACCATACAATTCTTGGCAGCAAATAGACCTATTACATCAACACAATGTCGATGGGCCCATCGCGCACTTTATAGCTTGACTTGTAGCTCAAGGTCATCAACAAGAATATGGAATAGACTATCACGAAACTTTCAAACCAGTAACCAAATCGCCCAAAATTCGCATTTTCCTTACCATTGCTCTCTCGCTCTCTAATGGTCAATCCTACGGTTAGATGTATCTGACGCCTTCCTTCATGGCACTCTATAAGAAACAGTCTACATGAAACAAACCCCAAGCCACAAAGACTACCAATATCCAAATCATGTCTACCAACTTAAAAAGGTTAACAATACGCTTAAATAAGCACCAAGGCAATAGTACACAACATTCTTCAGCCATTTGTTGCAACTTGGATTCCAGTTTAGCCAAGCAGACACCTTCCATTTACTAATCATCACGACAATATTCAAATCTACGTACTCATTTACGTTTACAAATTCTACTCACATGCAATAAACTCTCCAATCATAACCATACTTACTCTATGAAGCTTCTTAGCACAGTATCCCACTTTCTAACCATACAACTCCACAAATCTCTTCCTTAACAAGAAACACGATGCTTTCAACCTCCTCCATAACATCTAAGTTGACAGTTGTAAGCCAATCTCCAATCATCTACCTTCATCCTTCAGTAAACCCCCTAACTTAGATCAAACTTTTGATGACCCTACTTACTATAGCCACTTTGTAGGATTGCTTTAACGCCTAACTATCAGCAGACCCGACATTTCCTTTATTGTAAACCATCTCTATCAATACATGCAACACCCTCATCCTACACACATGATCAGACCTTAATTGGTTGCCAACTCAATTGATCATCTATCAATCACCAATTATTGCTCATTTTTAGAAACACTCTCATCTTCTGGCAAGTCAATAAGCAACCTTTTGTAGCTCATCTATCCACAGAAACAAAATACCAAGCTCTAACCTCAGTCGCAACAAATAACATCTGGCTTCACCAACTTCTCCAGAACATCCAAGTTCTTATTATGCATCTAACCATGCTTTGTTGTGACAACACCTCGGGCACAGTTATTATGGTGTGCCTTATGTGGTTTAAACCGAAAAACCAAACCGAAACAAGTCAATTCGGTTGATTTGGTTCGGTTTACAAAAAAAATTGGTCATGGTTTTACACATGTTAAAGTTCGGTTTTTGATTTACGGTTCAGTTTTCCTTCTTATTTAAACGAACGAGCAGAAAACCAAATTTTCTAGGTAAATCTTCTTTGAAATGTTTAGAAGTAACCTTTCTAGTGATTAATATTACATAATCATCACTAAGTAATCATAATTTTCTCTCGTTATCATCATATTCTTATACTTTTAAACTATATTTTGGTTTATGTAAAACCGAACCATTTAAATCGAATTAAACTTCGATTTGACTGGTTTGGTTTTAAGTGGTTAATATTACATTTCTAGTGATTAATATTACATAAACCAAAATGTTTGGTTCGATACTTTGGATTTTAGATTTCGGTTGTGGTTAGTTTGTCCAATTTAAGAACCGAACCATTAAAACCAACCGAATGCTCACCCCTAATGGTTATTGCTAATAACCCCGTATTTCATGCCAAAACCAAATATATCGAGATCGACCATCACATGGTGAGAGAATATATTCAAACCAAAGATAAACAGGTTCGCTACATCAACGTTCAGGATAAGTGGCTGAAATTCTCAACAAAACACTTACAACTCCTCAATTCACTGTTCTTAGGAACAAGCTGACACTTTGTTCACGACTTGCCAGTTTGAGGGGCAATAATAATGAACCAACAGCTACAGCACACCCCAAGTCTACCAGCAAGCAAATTCACACTATAGGATGTCAACAGCATCACTTAATCTTAACCATGCATATTAAGCTACCTAGTCTCATGTAACAGAAAATATGTCCTGTCATTTTCTCTCTTCTCTATTTTTATTTAAAGCATTTCATTATCAATGTATGTTGATTAAAATTTGTCTCAATCCTATAATTATTCAATTCTAGCATTCTCTGTTTGATTCCTCCTATTGTTCTACAATAAATGTTTCTTGTTCATAGCATATAAACAAAACATTAAATTAAACATAATCAAGCATGCTGCATCGCAACAAATTTTCAGAGGTCTACAAATACAGTAATTCCTATTACTTGCATTTTCTACAACCCGAAGGAATTGACGAATTAAGCATATGCATGGAATATATCATTCAAATAAACTTCATCAAAGAAGGAATGCTTCCCAGGAAGTTTGGGTGCCCGTACCAATTTCATAAAGCAAAAAGCTCAAGTGGAACAAAAATTGAATCGGCAAAATATTTTCGTTAAAGATTGAAAAACATTGAAGATTCAAGCAAATCAAGATGGAAAAATCCCAAGGATTGCTTCCAGTCAGAATCCTAAATGATAAAGATACTATTTGTTACATGATTGAAACCGCTCAAAATCAAGCCATAAATGCACGGCATTTCAGTATTTGCATCAGAAAATGTTAACCATCAGCATCTCGCCAAGCTAACCATCAGCATAACACTTCAGCTCCGCTGAGAAAAGGCACGGTCAAAGGTACCGCAGTAATGGCCAAAATATGAGAAATTTTGGAAGATGTTCTGAAACTAAACAAAGCGCAAACGACTCAATTTGGTTAAGAGATTGGGGATACCTTTGTATAAAAGTTCCTAATCACTCAAGAAGCTTTGCTTCTGATTCTAAAACGCCTTTCTTGATTCTGTATTCCTCCGCTTTGTTTTCCGCTTTCGTCTATTTGCTCAGACTCCGGGCGAATCTGACGATTGGCAGATGCTCGACGGGAGAATCGAGTAACATTTTTATTTGCATGCCCTCAGGTCCGACATATTTTGTTTGGAAGTTGCATGTTGGACATACACCTACCTCTTCTCACTTCCGAGGCAGCCCTTCATTGCTTTTTAATGATGACCGGCCTCACTCTATGCCCCCCGATCATAGCGATAATTGAAGAAATATTATGCCTAAGAATTTTTCTATGTGTCATATATTTTACTTGAGAGATTGGTTGTTCAAAGTTTTATGTACTTTGTAGCCCACTTATTGAGCAATAAAAGTTGCATCTTTTGATATTGCATTTAATTGAGCTATTTGTGATGATTTCCTTGTGTTAAGTGAATTATCACGTCGCATAGCTCATAACAACAAATGATGACATGTGTCTCTCTTAAAATTGATTGTTAAATTGACATACAGGCAAGGTGTAAGTCCTCAGGGCGGTTTATCCCTAACACACTCAGTAATCGGCGTAAGAGAAGCCACGGAGTTCACTTATCATTTTTTTTTTTTGTTCCACGCTTCGAACGAGTCCAAATGAGCTTTCCCACCCATCATAAATGAGTGTGGTAGATGTGTTTGTCCCACGCATCATAAACGATAGTGAAAGATAGCCTCTTTTAGAGGATTTGAGCTTAGCTTTATGGCCAAGAATTCATTGGTTATCGCATATTGCCTAGCAAACCTTTGCAATATCTTGATTGATTTCGATTGAAATATGTCTTATTTGGGATAGCCATGCACTTTCCTAGCATACTTTTTTGGTTACCCATCTCATATAAGACCTGAATTGAGCACCTTTTCATGGATATGATCATCCCACTCACCCTAGATGAGTGTGGTATGCCCCCACTTGAGGGGTATGTCTGGTTTTGGCTCTAAGGCCAAACACCCTTTTGCTAGTGCACTCTATTTCGACCAACATTTCTTAAGGTATCTCAATTGAATGAGGTCAGATTCGATTGATACCTTTTGTGCAGGAAAGCTACATGCTTGTCCCTCACACTTTGTTTGGATTACCCACTACATATAGGGCTCAAATCATCCCATCAATTGTGGATGAAAATGACAGATATTCTTGTCCCACTCATCTCACATGAGTGTGACATATTACCTTCTAAGAGATATGTTTGGGTTTTAGACTTAGGGCTAAATGCTTGATGGTTGGTGCAATTTGTTTTGACCAACTTTTCTTAGGTATCTCGATTAACCGATGTCAAGTTTAATTGATACCACTTTTATGCAAGAAAGTAATACTTCTTTCCTCGACACCTCAATTCGGTTAAATGCCTCGTGTGGGTCTGAATTAGAGTACCCCACTCATCTCAGATGAGTATAATGTTTTTCCTCTTGGAGGATATTTTTGGGTTCAATCCTAGGGTTAAACACCATTACGGTTTGTGCAGTATGTTTTTGTCAACAGTTCTTAGATACTGCGATAACTCCCCATTAGAAGTCATTCTACCGAAATTCTTGGTAGCAGTATCTATATAGGGTTGGTGTACTTTAGTCATCCAACCTCTGATATTCTTGACTCGATCAATTTTCATTGTCTTGTCAGAGTAACGTTTGTATTAGTTTTAGACTTTGTCGATTGTTTATCTGATCCATGTTTGTAAGAGCCACTATTGATGCCCAACGATTGTCTCGGTATTTTCTTCGATGAGAATTGCCTAAGACAAATCTCACAGGAAATATCCATTGAGTTTTTCCAAATGAGAGCTACCTTGCTAGTTGTGAGGGATCTTTTAACAAAATTTACTTTGCTGGTGCTTACTTGAAGCACCCTACGGTTGGACCCGTGAGTCTACCTAGATGTCACAGATATCTTTTGATGCTTCAGAAGGATAAATTTTTGATACTTCAAAAAGAGAAATTCACTTTAGAACAATACAAAAATTTAATTACCCACTCACTTTACGATGAGTACCAAGTGTCAATAAAAGTCAAAAACTATTAAAATAACAATTAATATAATGATTATATTATTCTTAACATGCAAACGGTATATGTCTCGTGCTATACTGGCTTCTAGTGATTACATCCATTCACGATCACCGTCGGCAGTGGAATCTGCTGGACTATCTGCCCATCGGAAGAAGCCATGTTGCTTTGCGATAATCTGTGACTAGTTGTAGAAACTGTCTCCTGTAGCTATGTGTCCGGCGTGACGTTTGTAGAGAAGACTACAGTCCGCAGTGTCAGAGTACTCATCGGGAGGTCCCTAAAATCCTGAACTCATCTTTCCTAAATGATTAAAAAGACAATTCATTAGTCACAACAGAAGTTGAAATTGCTAAAAGAAGTAATTAATTACTTTTATTTGCAGACGTGAGATATCAGAAAACTCAATATACTAACCAACAAATCAGTCATTATAAAAAAAACAATAGACCTTGTAAGAAAAAAGAGTTATTGGTTGCCTTTAACTAATGCAAAACAAACCTATTGTGTGTCACATGTGCATATCATCAAAAAAGACCATCCTAAGAAAGCTCATAAACTGATGCATCGGAAATAAGAGAAGAACTTGGTTGTCTTTATTAGGATTTCACATGTAACGCTAACCAACAACGACCAACAAGCCATCCAAAAGGAACTCATAAAGGTCAAAAGTCTCATCACTGACCTCTCAAACCCACAAAAAAAAAACAAATGAAAAAAAATTACACTTACAAATTGTGTAAAAAAATTCAAACCATAAATATAAAAAGGGTCACAATACTGCCTCATTCGTTCTACTTCTCTATCTTATTTCACAATGTGTATGGTGTGGGAGTAATATACTTCTCTGCCTCATTTCAAATGTAGTATCACTAGTAAATTTCAGTGACATAGAATGATATGATACATATTTGCTACTAGTTGTGAGGCCAAACAAAAAAAATTGAAAATGATGTCTCACACCACTGTCTCATTCTATCTACTTTTCTGTCTAATTTCACAGTGCGTGTGCGTGTGAAATATACTTCTTTTCTCATCAGAATGTCACAGATGATACCAGTAGTAAATTTTAGTGGATTTGAATCAAATTAGACATATTTGTTACTAGCTACGAGGCAAAAAAAATAAGAAAACATGGCTCGCATCAATGTTTCATTCCTTCTACTTCTCTGCCTCATTTCACAATGCGTAGAAATATAATTCTCTCATCATAATAATGCCCTAGGTGATATGACTAGTAAGTTTCAGTGGCATGGAATGAAATTATACATGTTTGCTACTGGTAGTGAGGCCAAATAAAAAGATAACCATGGAAAGATCCACCATACTAAAACCAATAACGCATAGAAGCACCAAACCAAGAAAATACAACATAATACATACAATGCAGAGCAAAGAGACAAAAATGTCTCAAAAATATATGGGAAGAGGGGATATTGCAATGAGGTGGACTCTGACACGTTTGTTAGGGCAGAGGAAGAAGAAGCTTTGCGGGAAACAGAATGAGCAAAAAATAGGAATGTGGGGTCGAAAGAGGGGTTTGTCGGTAAAAATCTTGAGAATAAATGTGGTTCGTAGAGTCAATTATGCTGCCCGCTTTTCACTGTGTGGCACTGCCGTTGTGATTTAAAAGTCACCCGAATGACGGAATACAGCTGCTCGCTATCGCGCAGCGCTAAAACAACCACCCCAAACAGGGCCTTAATCTATTGAGTCAAGTGGAGTAGATCTTTCATGTATTTGGGGGAGTTTGTTTCATCAATAGCTAATGTGATGGATATTCTCTAATGCTTAATAATTATCATTATATGATAAAGTCAAAGAAAACCTTTGGTGTCTCTATTCTTTCTATCACATGGAGAGCCCCTTCTAAGACGCGTAAATCATCCATTCGAACCTCTCTTATTAACCCCTGTGAGCTATAATATTATTAGTTATGATGATAACCAACCTTTTGTATGGATGATACTAATTGGTTCATTGCAGATATTTCAGGATAAATACTCAACTCAACTAAATTAATCAGTTCAATTAGCTTTATCAACTCAGTGGACCAGCTAAATAGTTGAGATGGGTAAATTGGTAAATTAATCTTATTAAAGAGATAGATAAAAATTTATTTACACTCCAGAACTCCTTCGTTCAATCTTCTTCTTCGACATTCTTCAACTTCTCCATTGTAAGTCTCATATTCTCTTCTTACCCCTACACTCTTTTCCTTCTCATCTTCTCAACACCACATTCTTATTCATCTCTTCTTTTCACTACTACACTTTTCTTCTTTTCTTATTTTTTATTCCCTTATCTCACCACTACACTCTTATTATTATTATTATTCTTCTTCTCTTCTTCTCACCACTACAATCTTTTTCTTCTCTTCTTTTTTCTCCTCTTCTCATCACTACACACTTATTCTTCTCTTCTTTTTTTATCTTCTCCTCTTCTCATCACTACACTCTTCTTCTTCTTCTTCTCACCACCTGCTACATTCCTCTTCTCTTAGACAAACTAAACGCCACCCTTCTTCTCTTCTTCCCTCACTTTCTTCCTCTTCTTCTTCTTCTTCTTCTTGTCAATCTCATGGTCAAACCCTAACACCACTACATTCTCCACCTTTTTTGATGCATTTCTTCGTTGGCTTCCTTGTGTGAATTTCATCTCATGATAATTTTTGTTTATGTGATGTCCATTCTCAAATGTTTTTCTTATGTGAAGTTACTTAGCACATGTAGTTTATTTAAGTAAAATTATTTCTTACATGCAATTTATATGAAGTGGAGTTATTTTTCAAGTACAGTTTTTTCTAGAAGTTCTTTCATGTAAAACATTTGATTACATTTGCAACTTTTTTATGTGAAAATGTATAAAAGTGAAGTGAGTTCCATGTATATCCGTTCATTTGTAGGTTTCATGTGTAGAATTTCATGCACATGCTTTCATGTATAAGTTTCTAGTATTCCTCGATGTGTTCATTTTGTGAACTTGAAAGACTTCCATGTGTTATGTATTCTCTCTATTTATATTTTTCATTATGTTATAACTATATGAAAGTGAAGTGCATTCCATGTTTATCCTTTCATATGTAGGCTTAATATATAGAATTCCATATATATGCTTTAATGTATTAGTCACAAATATTCCTCCATGTGTTTGTAATGTGAACTTGAAAGACTTCCATGTATGGATTTCCATGAGTAGTTTTCTTTACGTGAAAAATGTATGAAAGAGAAGTGAATTTTATGTATATAACTTCATGTGTAGAATTCCACTATATACTTTCTTGCATGAGTTTCAAGTATTCCTTCATATGTTCATTATGTGAACTTAAAAGACTTCCATCTATATATTGTCATGTGCTAAGTTTTCTCTCCATATTAAATCTTTTCTATGTTTAGTATACTCTATGTCTAATTTACTTGTACATATACTTTCCTCCTTGTGTTGTATTCACTATGTGGATTTTCTATGTGTATTTCTCCACCCATGTGAGTTTCACTATATGGATTTTCTATGTGCATTTCTCCATCAATGTGTAGTCTTTAGTATGTGGGTTTTCTATGTGTATTTCTCCACCCATGTATAATTTTTACTCTGTGGATTTTTCTGTGCATTTCTCCATCTATGTGTAGTATCCATGCATGTGAAGGCATTTTCATGTGTAGTTTTTATCAATATGTAATTACTTCTATGCGAAATTTTTCCTATGTGAAATCTCCTCCATGCTTTAAGTAATTTTCCATATATTAATTTTGTCGGTGTATATTTTGTGTAATATAAAAGTATGTCATATTTATATGCTTAAAATATGTCACTCGCAAGCTTATTTGATTAAACTATATGTTTAGACAACCTAAACATAAATTGCATGTAAATTCCAACTAAAATTTTAAATTCAAAACATTTTAAACAATTGACAAATTTTTAACTCTTAAATTTTAAAGCCTTTTAACTTTTTTAAATAACTAACACATTTTTAACATCTTAAAACCTTTTAATCTTGTAAAACACTTGAACATTTTAAAATAAGAGTTTAAAAGTCTTAAAAATTCAAAATACTTTAAAACCTTTTAAAATAATTCAAGCCTTTTAAACAACTTAAAACTTTAAACAAAAAAAAATTCGAAACACTTTAAAACTTTTTGAAATAACTTAAAATTTTTAAACACTTAAATATTCAAAACACTTTAAATTCTTTCGAAACAACATAAAACTTTCAAATATTTAAAATTCAAAATATTCTAAATCTTTTAAAAAACAACTTAAAATTTCCAAACATTTGAAATTCATAAAACTTTAAAACCTTTTAAAACAACATAAACCTTCAAAAGAACTAAAAATTTCCAAACACTTAAATTTTCAAATCACTTTAAAAGCTTTTTAAAACAACTTAAACTTTTAAAACACTTACGAATTTCAAAACAATTTAAAACTTTTAAAACCTTAAATTTTTAAAACACTTTAAATCTTAAAAAGACTTAAAATATTGAATCACTTAAAACTTAAAAATTCAAAAAACTTTTTTTTTATTGACCTTTTAAGTAATAATATCTCCGAATTTTATAAACGTACACCTTTTTAATTATCTAAAATTCATAACTTCTCATACAATCAAAATTAGCATATAATTTCGATATAACCTTCAATGACAAAACTTCAAATTAACACTAGAAACTAAACCTAAGGATAAAACTTAATTGGAAAACTTTAATATATATATATATATATATATGGACAAATCAGAATTCTATATATATATATATATATATATATAATGGTCAGAGACTATTAAACGAGCCTCCAACTACCCTTATGTGTCTGATTACTCAAAGACCACTCTCACTATCGACAAACTGGCCAGAAGGGGATTCGAACCCTTCACCTAAGAGGACTTACGATTTTCAAAGAAGTTGTTCTACCAATAGGTGATATAAATATATATAGGTGATATATATATCCAAAAGAAAACAAAAAAGGTAAGTGATGAAAAGAATCCTCCAAATAAATTATTCGGTCACGTCCAAAGCTGGTGTAGATTCAATTATAAGATTGAAACTTTGGGCCCAAAATCCCATTTATTTAATTAACCTCACAATAATCAAAGCACACGTCACACCATAGGCTTAGATTCACAAGGCTAGCTAGGGTCAAGCAAGATCATGGACCGTCCATGTCATGTCCCCCTCAAAGATCCAATGGCACACCTCGATTTTTCCTGGCCCGGGTCCCAGTGCCACGAAAGCCCCATGCCCTGGGGCCCAGTCCGACGTGTCAACGTGGCATATGGCCACACCATCATTGATCTTCTTCTTGCTATCGACGGCCAGGATTTCGGCCTCATAAACCCTCACCCGCGGGACGGAGTGGCAGTAGTAAACCAGGTAGGGAAACAAGCTCTGGTGACAGCTAACTGATTCCGTTACATTTCCTCCATTGACCGCCTTCACCTCGCCGATGAGGATATTTCCCTGAGAGCCCTTCGTGTTCGAGGTTGATCTCACCTCGACGTCGCTGCCGAGGACAGAGACGGCGAAGTCGATCATGTCCTCCGCCGAGGTGGCGCACCGTTTTGTCTCCCCGCGGCTAGGTGATCTCTCGCAGTCAGCCACCGTTGAAGCCACCGCCTTCGCCATGGAGCTGTCCGGAGAAAACTTAAAGATCTTCGATACGGCGGTAGCGGACAATGGGATCTTCCCTGCGATCGACCGCGGAAGGAACGATCGCGGCGGCGTCCGATCGTTAATGTCCGGCATTGGCATCACCGTCCCCTTTTTAAGGCTTCGTTCCCGGAAGAACTTGCCAGCCTCAACCCACTGTTTCATCTCCGGACGTCTCGACTCGGCATTGATTTGGGCGGAGGAGGAATTGTGGTATGATTTGAAATCGATCCCTGTTTTCGCGTAGGACTTGAATGTTGTGTCATCCTCGAAGTAGGATTTGAAGGTGATTTGACCATTCGTGGAACCCTCGCCGTATCCCTTGAAGGCATCGGAGCCGGAGCTTTCGTTACCGTAATTTGTAAATTCTACGCTGCCGTGGTCGCCGTCTTTATCATAGGAAGCAAAGGAATCGTCGCCGATGTTGGATTCGTGACGGTAGGTGGTGAATGTTTCGATTCCGGCGGTGCTGCCGGACCCATAGGATTGGAAATGATTGTCGGGAATGTTGGCATGTTCAGAATAGGATGTGAAGGTGTCTCTGTTCCCATCACCATTCTCGCCGTAATGTGCGAAACCGCTCTCAATTATGTTGGAATATTTGTGGGCGTAAGAGGAGAAGCCAGATGTTACGCCGCTGCCCCGCTTTCCGTAGCTGGAGAATGTCTGCTGGCCGACGTTGTCGTCGTCGGCGTAATGTAAGAATCCTTCGACCCGGCCGGTGCCATCGGTGGCGTAGTTGGTAAACCCTAGGACAGGAATGTTCGAGGAATTGCTGTATGAGTTGAATTTATCGATTCCTCCTGCCGATTTGGTTCCGTATGAGGTGAAATTAGCGCCGACAATGTTGCCTCTAGGGCCGTAGATGGTGAAGGAATCGTCGTGGCCGCCGGATCCGTGACCATATCGGCGGAATGTGCTTAAAGGAGTTTCGTTACCGAAGTAATTTTTGAAGGAAGAGGCGCCACCGCCGGCATCAGTGCCGTAGTTGCTGAAGTTGCTGTTGTCGTAGCCGGAGAAGGCAGAGTCGCGGGGATGGGAGGCGAGGGATGGGTTTAGTTCGGCAGTGCAGAGGAGAGCGGCGGCGGAGCAGAATCTAGGGAGGATGGTGGATAGTTTGAACGGGTCGGAGGCGGCGAGGGCGGAGAACTTGGCTGCATCGGAGATGGAAAGGGGCGTGAGCTTGGAGACGAGGAACGGTGCAGGGTGGGGAGAAGAGTTGGGAATTTTTCGTTTCCAGTAACGAAGTAGTGCAGCCTTTTCGGTGAATGGGTTTAATGAGTTCGCCGGCGTTTGCGAGTCTGCTGCGGTCGCCGTTGAGAGCGAGAGCAAGATGAAGAAGAGCATTCTATCGCAGTCCATTGACCAAAGCTAGACTTTCCTCACACTCATTAAAGAACAGAACAGAAACTTTATGCATCGGTGGCCTCCTTATCTTTAATATTTTCTCCCTTTTAGAAAGATTTACAAGCATACCATTCAATCTATTTACATGTCTAACCTTTAAACTCCAATATAAAATGTAAAAGTTAGTTTATTTTTCTAAATGAAGAAAATTTATATTTTTGATGTGATATGAGAATTTAGGTGGTATGAATATAAGAGTTAGATGTGTGAATAAATAAGAATTGGGTGTTATATATATATGTAAATGCCCTTCTTAATAATGGTATGTATTTATGAACCGCCACTTGATAGTCATAATTTTAAGTCATGGTTAAGCCTTTTAAGTAAAGGTAAAGGAATAGAATATAATTATATATACCTATATATATCTATATCTACATATAGGTATACATGTGTGTGTGTTTATATATATATATATATATATATATATATACACACGTACTTATTTAGTATGTATATACGGACCCCACTTCTACGTTGCATGTGCATAATTCGAAGATGATCAGGTGTCGGCTTCGAACCACCGTCGAGACGGAACTTCCTCAGCAGGACTGCTACCAAACTAAAAAAACTAAATAGTCTATTAAATATTGAGGCGTGAACATGGGCGGCAGGGCTCTTGCCGTCAGCACAAAGACGGTGACAAGGCATTGGTGGGTCAGGCTACTGAGCATAACAACAGTGCATATTACACCTTAGCATGGGTGGGTCAGGCTGGCCAGCATAACAACTGCATATTACTGCTTATTGCATCCAGGTTGGGGAATACTATATGTTTTGTATTAATTCGAATGCTTAACAAGGTATTAAATGAGGGCATGGATTACTTCATGCACATACATAATACAGATCCAACGGTTAAGGAAGTAGTAATGTAAGTGCGATGACGTCAGATTAATTAGATATATGATAAAAATCGTCAAATTAGCTATAGATAGAGCGATGATAAAAATCTATTTGATGTCTTTTATACAAAAAATTAATAGGGTTGAGTACAAGCTGATTTCAAGCCTATTCGCTCCAAAAAAGGATCAATTTTTTTTTAAATGGATCGAAATCAGCTCGTGACCCGATACAATTTGATTATCCGGATCAAATTGATCAATTTATGAGCCGGATCGAATTGCTTTCAAGCCCAGTTGAAATTCAAGCGAGCCACCTCATGTCTTTGATCGTGAGCCGAATTAGAACTTGAAAACCTGATCAATCTGAGCCGAATTAGAACTTGAAAACCTGATCAATCTGAGCGATTCAAAGCTGGCTCGAAAAAGGATCAATTTTTTTAATGGATTGAAATTGGCTCGTGACCCGATACAATTTGATTACCCAGATAAAATTGATCAATTTACGAGCCGGATCGAATTGCTTTCAAGCCCACTCAAAATTTAAATGAGCCAGCTCAGACCTCTCAGACCTCATTTCTTTGATCGTGAGCCGAATTAGAACTTGAAAACCAGATCAATCTAACTCGAAATGCAGCTTGAAAACCACAATGAGCTAGCTGAAAAAGTTCTTTTGAACAAAATTATTCATTAATATTAAAAACAAATTAAAATTTGTATATTACATAAAACAAAATTAGAGAGAATTATCTTTTGCACCGAAGAAGTCTTCAAACTACAAATTACAAATATGAAATAATACAAATTCACAAAATAAATATTATTTGTACAATTGTAATCATAGCTCATAAAATTGAAATTAAATATTACGAATTTATAATTTACAATTAAAAAATTAAATAAAAAAATTATCACTCTATCGACTTCTCTTGATTCTTAAATATTGATGGCTTTAATCCTCAAAAATTACTTCAAAGCTGCACAAAAAAAAAATAAATAAATAAATAAAACTAAATAACATAAAAAGTGGTACAAGTACTTTAACCTCTTATATGAAATAATAATAATACAAATGATTAAACAAAAACAGCGGAAGGCATACCTTTGCTTTTCATATTTAGTTCTCATAAGGAGACCAACTAATTCCTGCATTAACAAACTTGGAGAAAATATATGTACAAATACTATATCTAAACTATTTACTGTCAACTTCAACCATCTGACTCCAACATGGATTCAACCAAAAATCTATCAATTTGATTGAAAAGGATGCAATTTCATGCAGAAAACAACTATTACCACAACATAATATTTCCATGGAGCTAGAGGAAATAAAACCCAGCAGAACAAAACAATAAGGCTACAAGGATGATCAAAGTTCAGCAATTCATTGGTATTCTTCCAGCTGCTTAACTTTCCCTTTCCATGGAGCCAGAGGAAATAAGACCCAACAGAACAAAACGTTCCTAACACCCTGTATTAGAAAAATAATTCTTCCAGCTGCTTATGTATTTACATATCTCAAAAGAATACAGAAAGAAACATAAGAAGCTGGAATACATTTATAACGTGTCAGGATTAATCAACATCATGAAAATATGGATGGGAAACAAATGAAAACAAATTTACATACATCTACCTAGATCCAAGCCAAAGCAAACAATTGAACACATTGAGAAGCAAATAATTCACATAACATGACAAATAATTCACACAATTTCTGTAGTAGGTAAGTAATTTTCTTTCACAATATCCAATATATTCAGAATATATAAATTGATGCGAAAGAATAGTTAGTAAATATAAACAACACCCCATACCAATTAAAATGAAATAAAGATATTTATGCAGTGTAAGAATCATAATCAGTCCTATCTCCTTCGCTTTACTATCGAGCCATCAGATTAACATCAAGCACAGAAATATTTATTATCAAGCCATTAGATTAACACCCCACACAAAAATTGGTGCAATTACATACATAACACCCGATTATGGATTTACCTTTCTCACACAAGAACTTTCATATTCACAAGCATTAACCCACTAGCAAACTAGCCAATTCCAACAACAACAATCCAAGAAACCATATTTTGCAAAATGATTGAGACAAACCTAAATTTGAGCTCAGAGAATTCCCAGGCTGACATGTTGAACTCCCAGGCTAACAAAGATTATCTGTCATGTTGGTGTGGCAAGAAATGAGTTTAGAACATATGCTACAACCGGCAAATTTATAATTTCCAAATTCAAGATGACACCCTACGCACCATATCAAAATATCAGTATATCACCCATACTTAGAAAACCCCAAGATTCCAGATAATAGGTTGAGCCACCATGGCTAGCTAACATCATTGCTCCACTGTTCGAAATAGCAACCTACAACGACCAAATGACCAAAGATAAAAAATATAGAACATCTGTATCTGAAAGTAATCAAGCTACAAACTGCGGGTATGGGAGAAGTCCTACAATTATAACAACTTCTCAAAAGAATTCCAAAACAACATGCATAACTTAATAGTTATAACTACAAGTCCACAATTCAAATGTCACATTAGCACAATAGAATTGCCCCATAATTATAAAATTACAATCTATTCAAATAAAAAATTTATAGAATGTTCAAAATATGCTAAATATTACTTTCCCAAGCTCATATTGTTCATCGAATATAATTTTTGATCTAAGATTCCGTATTCAAGCATTCAAGCACAGCAACTGTTAAATCCTCTTCTTCAAGGATGTCAAACTGAAATAGCATAGTAATAAACAATTAAGTATACCGTATATTTAAGATAATTAATGGAATATATATAAATATTAGTATATTACCAAGGGATATTTTGATGATTTATATGCTGCTCGAATCAAATTTAAAGTAATAAAGAATTTGGGTGGTATAAATGTTAAAAAGTAATGTTTAAGTTCTAGAAATGCAAAGAGATGACTTTGGTGGTATGTATAATGTATGTAAATGCCCCTTAGATTTAAACCCGTTGAAGATGGTTATGACACGATACATCAATACTGAAAGTTTAATCTAAATTTACAAAAAGTAACTCTTCATACAAGCCAGTAAAGTAAATCAACCCAACTCATCTAACATACCCTTAAAACAAAAGTTGAAGTAGCTAAGAAGTTTCCTTAAGCACTATCACACTTGATACTTCATAAAAATCACACTTATGAAATTTAGTGCATTCTTTATATCATAATACCTTGTGTGCTACTTTCTAAGACAATAAATCAACAGATTAAATGATTAATCCTTAAGTAAGAACTAAGAACTACACACCATAAGAGAGAACACCAAGAAAAAACCGTATATAATGCATGTTTTTTGCTTCCGTGCTGCTTCATTTGCTCCACATCTTAAGGACAAAAAACTACACATCATAAAAGAGAACACAGAAAAAACAACATTTATGTCGAAGAGAAACCGAAAAAGATTGATTAATGTCACAGAAAGAAAATTGCAGTTGATAAGAACTAGTCCAAAGGGCCAAAGCAAACCAAAAAACATAGAAAAAATAGAACCCCTAAATTCTTTTTCAAACCAAAAAAAAAAAAGGTTGATCACTGTTAATGATCATTATAACTTTCATTAGAAGAATCATAGAAGAATATTATGAGTTTACTAAGCCAGATGTCGCACACTATACAAAATAACTGCACAATACCGATGTTGACATGCCAAGCACTCAAAATTCCGCTAGCCACCGAAAAGAGAGCAAGGAAGAGCGCAAGTGAGAGCCTGGAGAAGCCTCGCGTGAGGGAGAGAAAGGAAGAGAGAGCTTCTTTGCGAGAAACTAGAGACGAGAGAGGAAGAGACCGAAATGTACGAAAAAATATTACATCCTGAGTGACTCCAATGAAATTTTGCCAAGTGTTGTCCCGTGTAAACAGTGGTCCCATGGAGAAAAAAATGCAAAAGTATTTTTTTTAATGCGCGGCCCGGTCCGAACCCTCCTATTTCTTCGAAAACACTTTATTTTGTCATGTGCCACAGCCCGAACCAACCTACAGCTTCGAAAAGAAACCACTCTGCACTGAATCATAATGCTCAGTCCATCGCTTCGAAAACAATACAAGCTCTTCAATATCCATTTTCTTCATTTGCCATCGGTTAGGGTTCAACATTGCGTGACTCCGGTGGCTATAGATTTGCTCGTTTGAAATCGTTCGCACCGTCGTTCGCCCGTCAATACACATTCGAAGTCCCACTTTATTGACATGTAAGTCTTGTGTGTTTAGGTTTTTACGAAACAAGCTTTTCGCGAAGATTTAGGGTTTTTTTGGGTGCGAACTCATGTACTTCTCTTTATCTTTTGAAGCAAGCTAATACACAACAATGAAAGAACACAAGGAAACCAAAGAGCCTAATAGATGCCAAAAGTTATCCAGGTAATTTTTTTTGCGGTTGTACTTTCATTCTAAAGTTTAGGGTAACCGTGAAAAACATTGCATCATACAGTATTTTCGTGCATTGCCCATATGATTTGTCGTGAATAGACAAACATACAAGCATACAAGAAGTTCACATAGTGATTGTTTGACCAAAGTACGAAATAACCACAACGGGCGCCCAAAATGGTGAGCACACGTCATGCAAAAGAATGCAAGGATGCTACATGCAACATGACACACACTAACAAGTTGTAGAAGCAAAACATGCTACCTATGAAGAGGAATTACGCTTGCCCCAGTACTCGGGACGCCATGCGACTAACAAAAACCTGCTACAAGTGAGTTTGCATCGAGTAAAAGGATACCTATAAAAATGATTCATACTTTAACCGAGAGGTACTCACCGAGCACAAAAACAAATATGCAAGATATACAACAAGCATATGACAGAAGTGCACCAAAGGTGGTGATGGTGAGTATATCGTGAAGGCGGTGACTCAGAAAGAAAGGACATGAAATGGAGGCAACGACCTAAAACATGGGTATGTCGAGGAAGCAGAGAGTCAGAGATGGGCATGACATGAAGACAACGACCTAAAATATGAATATCTCGAGGAGACAATGACCCGGGGATGGGCATGTCGTGAAGGAAACGACCCGACAGATGAGTATACCGAGGAGGCAGTGACCCGGGAGGGAGCAGTGATCCTCACTGGGGAGAACCACCAATACATGTGCAAATGCAAATGCAAACACATACGGAGTATGATGCAACATGCAAGTAGACAGATATTTAAAATGATGCAAAAACATACAAACATACAAGTGGTCAGTCGATCGGGCAATGGTGGTCGGTCGACTGAAGAAGCGGGTGGATTGATTCGGGGTAGTCAATCCGACCCAAAAGAATGGGTGATTGGCCGGGGCGGCCGATTAAACCCAGGACAAGAAACCAAAATCTAGTGGTCAATCCAACACAAAAGAGGATCAAGGATCGGCTTAGGACGGCCGATCGACCTGAAGTGCTCACACAATCACACATTATATACAACAAAATGCCATATCAAAAAATGTAACAAGATGAACCATGCACATGCAATGAAACTCAATTGCTCAACGGTGCGTCAAACTCAAAATAACAGCCCAAGTAGGAAACTTAGGGTTGACACCTTTAAATTTGCAACACCGTCACCTCCGGCTTTGATGTGGCAATGTGAAGGGTTTCCCCCTCCAATTTCTCGTAGAAGAAAACTCTTCATCATTCGTAGGCAGACTAGCTACAAAACTTTTTCAATTCTACACATGCCCACAATCTTGTAGGACGGACTAGCTATAAAGTTTTCCCGTACTTTAAGATCAACTTAACCAACTTTTTCAAAAAAAGTTGGGACCATCAAAACTGTGGAAAATTAGGATTCCGACCCGGCGGGATTAAAGCCTAAGGCTCATAACATGAGGAAACATTCCGCTTCAAATAGGAATGATCAACGCACGTGATTTCTAACTTAGAGTTTTCCCTATGAAATCAACGAAACATCACATTGGTGGCGCGGCCGGTCGACACATGTCGGCCCACAGATTCATCCCATGTGGGCGATCAAGCCCGCGCGGCTAGACTGAACTAATCCTAGGGTCTGCTAAGAGATTAAGAAATCTCGCTCACCGTGACGATTACGGAAGCATTTTCTTTGTTTCCTCCAAACTCACTTACACGCTAGTACGGTCACGAGTCATGTACCCCAGCAATATGTGAGCACCAAAAGAAAGAGACGTATGAGGGCAAGAGGTATACAAGTACCCAAAATAAATATCACTGCCAACGAAAATAAATATCACTGCCAACGAAAATATGATCGGCACGTACCTACGTGAGAGTGGCTGCTTAATGTCCATGAGATTGTCAGTGGCATGAGTCTTCAGCCGTAAAGGGAGGACAGAGTGCGGTCGATGTTGCGAGAAGCTCCCCAAAATTAAGGCATCAACCCTTTTGCATGAGAGAGGGAAGCGACACCGGCACGAGGCAGCGCAAGTGGGAGGCAGCCCACCGGCAAGAGCAGGCGGCGACAAGAGGGTTTCCTGCAGGAAGGAGCGTCGACGTCGCTCTTCTGCATCAAATTCCGAGAATAGTAGAAAGGGAGCAAGTCCGGCGATTCAGGTGGGAGCAGCGGCGATGAGGTTCAGGCCGAGAAAATGTCACACGGGGAGGGGCCGGCTCGAACGCATGAGTCGGCTAGGACACGCAAATGGGAGAGGCGGACTCACGGGCGTGCGGAGGAGGAGATGCCGACGGGAGCGACACCGGCTTGGAGGGAAGTCTGACAGGAGTAGCGCCGGCGCGGAGTGCGACAACGGAGCGGCGAGGTTTGCCCTATGACAGCGAAGGTGTCGGGAGGGAGGAATTAATTATCTGAACGAGTGTCCGATCCTGGAAAATATTTGCCTAAGTGCTTATTATTTGAGTTTATATCTGGGTTATACCCTTATAACCTCTGGTATAACCCGGATATAACTCCCCTATACCCCCAGAATAACCTCTGATGTACGCAGCGCTGCGTACATCTTATGTACGCAAATATTTCTCCCGATGGAAACGGTCATCTAGGAATTATTTTTATTTTTTTAAAAGAAAAATTAAGCGGGGCCCACTGAAATACATCGGCACCGTAGATCAGATGATTTACTGTCCGGATCGGACACCGCACGTAAGCTGGGTGCGGTGTCCGATCCGTATGAAATATTTTTCGTGGGGAGGGGTATTCGTGAAGGGGAAAGGAGAGGGGTCGGCCTGCATGAGTTGGGGATTAAAAAGATTTTTTTTAATAATAATATTTTTATTTATTATTTAAAATCTCCTATTAGCATATTTTCGCATATACACAGAACCCCAATAAAATAAGTGTCATTTGCGTAAAATCAATATTCCGGATGCACTCTCAATGTATGTTTCGTCATCAGGTGTCATATGGACAATTTCGTCAACGATTGAGCCAAATTCAAGTAAGTTTCATGCTCGGCGCTACAAATAATATTCGTAAGTCCGATTGGAGGCGTCTGATGAGCCAAATGCCGACAGGTTTTTGCCCAAGTGAAAGTTAAATTCTAGTAGACTCTGGCTGTGTGCCCCTCAACACGCTCCGAAGAGACTCAAATGGATGTCTCAAGTTATGGGAAATAGCAGCTGAATGAAGCTTGATCTCGATGTGCTCAAGTGGACATCTCATACATGTGATAACAAAAATTGATGTCAACACTAAGACACTTAAATTTTTAAAATATATGAGACCTTTGCGGTCTCATTTTTCAAAATTAAAATACTATTTTTAAAATTATATATATATTAAATTAAAATTATTTCCAAAAAATCAAGATCGGCATGGATGTACATGAGTTGAATTTAAGAGGAAATTATTTGAATTGATTTTTTTGGTACTTTGGGTCCAAGTCATGCATTTGGGTTGGGCTCACCCTTTAAGAGGGTTAAGCCTGATGTTCATTGTGAGGGCATGGTTGGTCAAGTCCAAATCATGGGAATTAAGGTTTAATTTTTGGTTTAAGTGAGTCATCAAAGTGGTTAAGCACTTTTTGAGGCATCTTGAAAGCGTGGTCTCTTTTAGCAATAAATTGCATGGTGGTTCGCATGAAGCTCATGCATGGCTCCTTGGCTTACCTATGACTTGGGTAGAGTCAAATGGCTTGCCTAAGACTTGGGCATGACTTACATGGCTTGCAATTAAGAGGTATGGGTTGATTTTGGTCTTTTGAAAATATTTTATCATGAGCTCAAATTTAGTCATCTTAATCATGTGACCATCCATCTAATGTTTGATTAGATTTTAATATGATGAGGGGAGGGTCTAATCTTATCATGAGGGCTTGTCATTTAATTTAATTTGGATTTGGGCTTGATTTTTGTGGGGTTTTAAAATTGGTTATGGTGGGTTGGTTGAATTTTTAAATTGGTTATGATGGATCTAGAACTAGGTTAACTTTGTGGAATTGGTGGGTTTGGTAGTCTCTGTGGGTTTGGTGGATTCTAACTTTAAAATGGGAAATTCAATTTTGAAAATTGGTTTTGGCTTTCATTTATTAGTGGTGTGGAATAATGTGTAATGTTAATCGTGATGGTGATTTGGTATGTGCGGATGTGTAAGTGGTGTAAGTAAATTATAGTGTTGGTAATGGGTATATGTATGTGCTTCAAAGAGATGAAAACCTAGGTCATAAAGGTCTCCCTAGGGCATCACCTAACCCTATGGTGAGCTCGTCATAAGTCTCATGTGTTGGTCCTTAATCAACTCAAGTGTTGAGGATATAAGACCACACACATGAGACTACAAAGAGCCAAGAAGTTGTTAGAATTTTTAACTGAGGTTGGGTCCAATCACTAATCCTCTAGGAGAGTCAATAGAAAAATTCTATGGATAGACCCTATGCTCTAGAGGAAGAGGTAGACCTTACCAAAATGAGGTCAACATTGGTCCCTCAAACAAAGCTTGGTGGCAATTTGAGGTGCATCAGACTTGCGATACCTACAATATGATCATTCCTTCTTGAGGATCTTTCTTTTCATTCATGGCGAGACTACGCACCCCATACTGTGCAAGATATAGGTGATTGAGCACCTCTCTTTTCGAGGAAGCTTCTTGAAGATGAAATGAATCAATGAGATAAACGAGCTCTTTTTCTTCTCTTGCTAATGATAGAAGGATCAGAGTAGACTAGCAACAATCCGACAAAAATCTTCCTAAACACGAGCGACAAACAATGAGTATAACTTGCTCCTTCTAAGAGAGGAAAGTACTCAGAAAGTCCCATTTATTTGGGCTCATCAGCTGTCTTGTAGTTGGTCTTATTTTCTTTTTCTTCCAGACAAAACGACTCATGTTTTTCAGTTGAGTGAGGGTCAGCGACACAGAATTGGAACTGGATTTGATCTTGAAAATGAATAGCAATGGAACAAGCTCTTTCTCTTCTTCTAGGACAATGAACTTCCCTTGCGACTAGTCTTCTTAGTTTCAATAGTAGGGCAAACAACGATGGACTTAGAGTTCTTTTAATAGCAGAAACTTTCTTGGACAGAGTCCTCTTCAATGAAAGGAACTCTTGGCCAGACTTCAGTTTGAATTCAGTCAATGGCTCGGTAACCTCTGTAGAAATTGCCTTTGCTACAGTATGAGTTACATTACCCATAACTACCACAATTTCAAAAAATCTGGACCCAAACTTGATTTACTACCTCTGATAATGAGCTCTTATTAGTTGGCAAGTAGGGTCTTCTGAAGAACAAAAAGGCCAACCTCGAGGAATCCATTACCGAGGTTCTTTCATTTTTTGGAGAAATTCAGAATGTTAGCCTGATTTATTTTCAAGGCTTCATTCCGCACATTTTCTTTTCATTGACCCATTATGTAAACAAGGTGTTTTGTTTTGTTTTTATTTTTGTCGAGTTTCGCTGAATTTGATTACTTCATTTTATCAAAAGTTTTGTTTCATGTCGATGTCATTTTGTTTTGTTATTTTTTTTCGAGATTCAATACTCTAAGGTTTGCTTGTTATGAACGGCTATGAGATTGAGGACATGTCGGTTATGCTCTACCCAAGAATGAAATGGGCACAACACACCAACGAGGAGATGGGAATCCATTATATGCAAAGCACAGACACATTTCCTTGGCATGAGGACAAGTTTAGCAACAAGTGATGGTGAGAGAAGAAGTCCCCAGCTGAGTCACCATTCTGCTCTCTATTGGTTGCACCTCGTGTCGCCGCCCTTATATTATGTTTGGTCATCGTGTTTCTTCCTATGTTGTTATGTGTGGAGTAACTAGTTTCTACAACCGTGTAGCCTGTCTCTCTGAATAACTCTCTCTGATTATGTGAATGATCTAAAGAGAGAAGAGATCGAAGGGCTAAGACATATAATGACGGAGACAAATAAAAGAAACACGTGGAGAAGCTTTAAAGAGGTGGACTTCGCGCAGATTGCTCCAAAGCATATGCCTGAGGTACAATCGACTCAAAACACTTAGAAGATATACTTGCGAAGAAGACTTGATGAAAGCAAACCTATGACCAGAGATTCAGGTTATTGTACCTGTTCTAGGGTTCACTTCCTCTTAAACAGGTAAGCAACAATATTTAATTATATTTTAAGTAACCAGGGGTGCTTAAGAAAACTCTCGATTAAGATTGTGACTTGTCCTAAAAAAGTTTGAATTTTGTTGTTTTCGATGAAGGATTTTCAATGGCCTATCTTAGAGAAAAAGGACAGGGCAAAGTTAATGGCTCGAAAGAACCCCATCAAGATCCTGAACTATCATATGCTTTTGTGGCATTTTGAAAAGTAACTTCAAGTTTTACTCCTAATGTTTTATTAGAAGATTAGAATTTTTATTACACTGCATAAGATCATGCAGATGCCTAAAAGTGAGGATTTACATCGTAACTAAAAGAACAACCTCAGATTTGAAGCCCACCAAAGGTTGATTATTCATGTTTTATTGATAGTTTAGTTAGGGTTCATCCTTTGCATCATGTTATGCATAGTTTGAATGGTCGTCTCTGCAAGACAGAGTTAGCACACCTTAATAACATGCAAAGTAAATCAAGGGTGGCGTCCTCCTTTTGTCTTTAGGAGCCCTGTGAAATAGATTTAACATAAAGTATTTTTAGTTGATGGGTTAGTTGTTATTTTTTATTTGAGACAACCATATCAAGATGCCCATAGCTTTTCATCGTCCGAGGTTGTGAGGTTCTCTGGTCTACTTAGTCTGGTGGTTGATTAAGACCAGATTTGGTTTGGTTTGACCCATCTTGGCCTGGGTTTGGCTCTCCAAAATTTGAACTTGACTTGGGCGCCATTTGTTCACCTCTTATGGTAAGTGGTGCAATTTTATATTTTAGAATTTGAATTTAACTTAATTTGGCTTTTTGTGTCACCCATGTGTTGTGATGAGTCATGGTTGTGTCATAGGTGACCCATAAAGGAAGGGCCATGAGGGAGATGGGCCATAGGAGAAGGGAGATGGGCCACAGGAGAGATGGGTCATGGGCTTAGATTTTGGATTTTGGATTTTGGGCTAACCTAAGTGTGTTTAGGTTTAGCCCAAGAGATCAAGCCTAATGGGCTTTCATAATTTAACTAATTAAATAATTATGTGAATTATGAAGGTTGATCTCATTGTGTCAATTTGACCCCTATGTGGTTTGATGTCTTGACCACTTTGAATGGGACTAAATATGGTGGCAATGGGTCAATTGGTTAAGAATTGACTCAAAATTGGGTTGGACCCAATTTAGTTTGGTCACCCATAGTGCCTTCAAGCCTTGGGGTCAAATGAGTGTGTTGGCCTTTCATGTTAATTTTAGTGTCAAAGGGAAGGCCTTAAGTGAGGCTAAGAATCAATTTGAGTAGATGCTCCTTCCCACTGAAATTTTTTGTGTCTTGGTGGTTCCCATGGTTTGTAGGGAGATTCCTAGGGTTTTGAATTCCATGAGTGACCCCGAGCATGTCTTACACATGGAAGTGGTCAACTTGGGTCTCTCACCAGACCAAGACCCTAAACCAACCCAACTAGGGGTTGAGGGCCTGGGCTTCACCTCATGAGGCCAAAGGGAACAAAGTCTTGGTCTGGGGGTTATGTGTATGTGAGTGGGTGAACCCTCACAAAAGTGAGGTCAGCACATTCCTTGTCGATCGATTGCTCGCACTAGTTTGATCGACCACCTTCGATCCATTCAACCAATTGGTTGTCATTGGCCTCAATTTGACCGACTACTTTTCATCGATTGGGCGCCCCTACGCGATCTACCGTTCTTCGTCAGTCGACCACCCACGCCCTTTAGATCAAACATCTTCTGTGGATTTGGTGATGGTCTATTAGTTGTGGTCTGTTGGTGTGGTGGTTGTGTTTTTTTTTTTTTTTTTACATGGTAGTGGTGGTCTGGTGGTTTGCTAGTAGTGGTGGTGTTGGAGGTTTGTTTGCGCGGTGGTGTTGTTTTTTTTTTGATGACATGGTGCTATGTGTGGTGGTGTGTAGAAATTAGAGTGGTGGTACTGGTGTGTTGATGGTGTGGTTGTTGTGGTTTGTTGGTGTGGTAGCGAATGTTTGTAGAGTTGATGGTTGTTTGTTCGTAGTGATGATGTGTTAGTGATGATAATGTGGTGGTGGTGGTGGTATGTTGGTGTTGATGATGTGGTGATGATTGTTGATTGTGGTACATTTGTGATGAATTTACTTTTTTGTAACATGATGGTAGGTGTGGTTATGTGTGGAGAGAGGAGTTGTGATGTTAGTTTGTTGATGGTATGGTGGTGGTAGTTTGTTGGGTTGGTGGTGTTGGTGGTGGTGACGTTGGCGATTGTTGGCTGGCGGTGTTGCTGTGTGAGTGTTTGGTGGTGTGTTTGTATTGAAAATGTGGTGGTGGTGGTGTTTAGGGATGATGTTTTAATAAATTTCATATGTTTCTTTTCAATTACCTTTTGAAGTTGTGATATTATAAATGACACTTTATGATTTCTCAGTCACAAATTTATGTTGCTTGGTTCTTTCATACCGGTAGTAGTCACAACTAAAACAAAACAAATTTGTTAATTTGTCATGTGAGATAAAGAGATTAAGATAATATTTCGCAATCTTTGCCTTAAATAAATGGAATTGAGAAATAGGCTAACCATTTATTTTAACAAAGAGAACTGACAAATATAATGAAAAAGTTCAAGAAGTAAGAAAGAAAATAAGATAAGATGCAATTGAAAAACAAGTGAGATTTATTAAAAAAATGACTGAAAAATATGAAAAGAGTTGAAGTGAGAATCCACGGCTTTGTATTGAGATCCAATAAAGCGAATCGTTGATGCAAAACTTTCAGCAAAACTGAGACTAAATTATTATATATATAAATATCAAATTTTAATTAGATTTGAAAATTTATGTGGGGTGGCCTGCACATAAACTCCCCTTTTATGACTTGACAGAAATACAAAATCGAATCAATGACAAAAAAAAAATTACTCGTGATTTGTTCCACCATTTTTTTTTATAATAACCATCCCCAACCATTAATGGATTATACATCAGCACTCAGTCATAAAAAGATGTCGTCAGAACTAGTCCCTCCATTAAAAACATCAGAACTAGACGACCTGAAGTCGATGTTGAAAAAGGGCACTTCAGAATAGTATCTGCTAGAAAAAAAGGTGAGGAATTTACATACTTACCACACAATTCCTATGTATTGTATCGAACACCTAACTTTAATTTTTACATTCATAACACTCAAATCTTTAACATCACATCATAAATATCCCTTAACCAATTTTTTTTGAAGTTAAAGGCGCTGTTTTATACATAGATTTATGACAACGAGGTGTTATAAATATAAATATCAAACTTTAGGTGTTGATATGTAAACCTATTGTGTGGTACATATGTAAATTCCCCGCACGAGAGAGAGAGAGAGAGAGAGAGAGAGAGAGAGAGAGAGCTGCAACATAACATGGTGGGAACAATCTCTTATAAGAAAAGTTCAGGTGCAGATGATGCATGTAGCTTTATGTACGAACAACATATGCATAACTGCTAACGCACCCCACCCCAACCCAATGAAAGGCAAAGCATTGCCAGCTTTTAACAAAGTAGATTAATAAATACAGCTGCAACATAGAAGCGTTTGATATATATATATATATATATATAGCTAACAGTGATGAAGAATTTGGTAAGCAATTTGAGGTCGGAAAAACTGCATATCAGAACCTCTGAAATTAATCAACATAGGAACACTAACAATGCTTTCGATAAACTTCATCACAAAGATGCCGCAGTCAAGTGTGCCGGGTTCTTGCTGGGGATAAATCCTCCTGTATTCGAGACTCCAAGATCTAATATCCAACCCATGATCTTCATGCAGATACTCCGCTAGAAGCAAAGTCTGCAAAAAAAGAAGAAACATTTATTAAGCTATTTTCATGTATTTGGTGCATTATAATAAGCAATACTGCTTGAGAAAAAAAAAATTACATGCCTGCTCTTTCGCCGCCTCTCTGTGTCTTGCATCATACAAGGAGTCATAACCAATCCATTTCTTCAACTTCATGTTGCAAACAAGTAGTAACCAATGGTTGGCAGTTGAGATATGGCATGGCAATAATAATAACTTGGCTTTCTCGAGGGATTTCTCGTCAAAAGCATTCAAAAATGTCTTATAGCTACCAAGTTTGTTGCGATAAAGTCCCTGCAAATATAATAAACAGTCAGCATGCTTCAAAGTATAATGAACATTTATTTAGATTTCCTATGACCCACTAGTTATCACATACCAAAAACATAGGTGGCACGTACAAAAAACTCGCAAACTTATTCTCGGACATTTTAGCCCCTTCATATAACATAAGGGCATATGCATCTATAATCTACATTTAATCAACCAAAAAAAGAAAAAAATGTATCAGATAATCACAGAATAAAGAAGAATCCATAAAATGTTCAAATTCATATATGGTAAGTGGTAACCTCTTCACTGGTATATCCTCCTTGGAGATACTCCAGCATTGAATGTCTTCGAATACAGATGTTCCAATCAAAGAACACTATGTCATCTCTAAAACAGTAATGAAGCTGATAATAAGCTAAGTACTTACAGCACCAAAACTTATACAAAGTCTTAGCTGAAAAACTGGCTTACTAAACCTCTGCATAGGTTTTATGCAAAATGCATCAAGATAATTTCTAACATTCTCCGTCAGAAGTTCACGGCCAACGTAATTCAGAGATGCAACTCTTGCCTCCTACGATCAGTAAAAAATGTCCTTGAAATGTTAGCAATGCCTTTCAGAGTAAAAATATACAAATATGATACAAACTTGAACCATCTTCTCCATCGGGCTTGCGTAGTCGTCAAGATTGACCGGCATATTAGTGCCCCTCTGCATATTAGTGTCCGTCCTCTCGATTCTTGCCAAACTCTACTCCATCCATAGACACAAGTTATAAGATATGGAACAGGATGAATAGAAATAACCACAAAAAGAAAGTGTACTTACTTCCACGCTAGGAATGGAAGCTTTCTCTACTGTAATTTCCCTTCTCCTCTTGATCATGAGATGCTCCCTTCCAATGTTTGATTTCAGCATCTTCCTTTTTCCATGTTGCTGGCATATTTGCTTTTCACTCCTTGCAATGCTATTAAGCGTTGGAAATTCCACTGTATCTCCTTCAATGCATGGCTTGAGAAGGGTTGCACTAAGGTCAACTTTTTCACCAACCTTCCCATTAATCTTATCATTCATCCCCTCTATTTCCCATCCCTTTGATACAGCTAGAGTTTCTAGATTCACAATCTTCCTCTCCAAAACAGAAATTCGTGCGATTTGTTTAAGAACAAGTTGTGTAAGACTCGCTATCTCAGAAGAGCATTTTTTTTCCACTTTTTTTTGCTGCTTTTTTTTCCCAGCATCAGTACCTCTATGCTCCATTCCCTCGTATCCAGCTCTGATGTCAGAATCCACTGCTTCAAGGCCTGCAACCAAAGATGGATCATCCCTCACTGCACCATCAGAACATCCAATTTCAGATTGAATCTGCTCCAAACTATTCAGGGATATGAGTTCAAACTCATCATTTTTAGGGAGAAGCCGATAGCAAACCTATAGGATGGATGAAAGCCTTTTCAAGGAACAGGGAAAATAAATAAAGTGAAATATAAGTAGAACTGAAGTTAAATTCCACCTTGTCCTCCGCCGTGTCTCTAAGTCTATCTAGAAAACGTTTTCTCCGCCAGAATTTGCATCTTTTTGCCCACTTGAGCATTCTTGGTCTTGTTTCTGGATTAGAAGGCCTTGCATCCTCACCAAAATCAACATGCTCAAAAAACCATACCTTAAAAATAAATGTCAGACTCGCCTAATTTAACAAGCAAATTATAGAAATAATAGAATGGTTTGATTGGTTAGTTACAGTGATTGTGAAGGATAGACCGTTCATGCATCCGACTGCCACCTCCTTTCCTTCATTTCGTTCCTTCACAACCTTGGACTTTGCATTGATTTCTTTTACAAGGAATGAATGAAGTGCTTCGGCCCAATTATAGCTTCCAATTGAATCCAGATCCTTCACATAATAAGCCATATATCTAGGCACAACTCCACTCCCAGAAGGGAACAACACAGAAACCCATAGGAAAAGAATCATTTGCTGAACAAAACGTTTGTCAGTCTCAGGGTTATGATCGTTTCTGTTTCTGAGAATATTATCCAGCCTTCTCCGAATAATGTTCTTGGTCAAATATATCCTACTAAATTCAGGATCAAGCGACAGAGCCCGTTTCTGCCTCACTACATTTTGGCCTCGGTTAGGAAGACCAGTAATCAGAGCTATGTCATCCACAGTGAAAGGAATTATGACCCCGCCAATTAAAAAACCGCAATGCCCCTCGTCCCAAAAACCCAACAAAGCATCTACTATTTCCATATTCATATCAAGTTTTAAAATGTCTTTAATTAGCTTTCCAAATGGAGTTCTTCTTAGTAATGCCCATTCACGATTATTAATTTGCCAATTTCGTATTTTCTTTCCAAAACTTGCCAAAAGACATCTAGATTCTAAGAGAGGAAGTTCCTCATCCTCCCGCACAGCATCTGTTTTATCCACTGCATTCCCACAGGAAACGTGATCCACAACATTCTTCCTCCGTTGGGCCATAGGAGCTTGGTGCAGGAACCTGCAAAAAGGAAGAAGAAGAAGAAGAACCAAGGAAAATCAGAAAAGAAAATTTTCTTTCTATCAAAAAGTACAAGCTATTACATACGGAGAGCCTGTCTATTTTTCTCCACTACTGCCGGGTAGAAAAGTCATGACACCAAATGCAAAGATATATTCACTAAATAGCCATTTAATAAAACTAAAAGCAGAATTAATTAATATAATAGTGGTAACTAGTAAAGGATAAGTTGCATCCCGCTACATAAGTTGTTCTCCACCTCCGAGGAACTCGTTTAAAGTTAAAGAACTTGTGTTTGGCTATCATCAGGAGAATGATAGGCATAGATATCAGCTATTAAGAATTGGGAAGATGTCGAGTTCAGCTGTTAGCTGAATAGCATAGGCAATATCATTTATTTTAGCAGAGATAGGAAAAGCCTCAAATTTCCTTGGTTCCAATTTAGAATAAGTGCCGACTGGAAAGTGCTCTTCGCGTAGATGAACCATAACCAAATCTCCGACATTAAATTATTTATGCTTGCAGTGTTCATCAACTTGCGACTTGTACTTTGCGGCTCTAGCGGTAAGCTTCCGGCGAACATCTTGAAGCACGGTAGTGAAGTTGGCTGCTAATTGACTAGTAACTTTATTTTTTGGTTTTAGCATAATAGCCAAATCAACCATATGGTTGGGAGTTTCAGTATAAACAATGTCAAATGGAGCCCGACCCGTGGAACGGTTCACCATTGAATTATAGGAAAATTTAGCTCAACTTAAAGTTTTTATCCCATCTCTTTGGTTGTTCGCTCGATAGACATCTAAATCATATTTGCAAATGTTCGGTTGGTGATCTTCTCTGGCCTTTGGTTTGTGGATGATAAGCATAACTCAACTTGAGATTGGTCTGAAATTGCTTCGAAAGTTCTCTCCAAAAATGGCTTACGAATTTGACATCACGGTCGGAGGTCAAGCTTCGACGTATACCATGCAATCGAACTGTCCTTGAAAAAGACTCTTGTCACATTAATTGCGTCAAATGTTCTCTTGCAAGCTATAAAAAGTGACATTTTGGAAAAACAATCTACAACCACCACCACCACAGCATCCATCCCATGCTTTGTTTTCGGTAGCCCCAAAACAAAGTCAAGACTTAAATCTTCCCAAATTAAATCCGAAATTGGTAACAAGTTGTACAAACTGGTGTTTTGTGAGGATCTCTTGAAATTTTGGCATTTATGACAACGTTCCACATACCTCGATACATCCCGTCTAAGCTTAGGCCAAAAGAAGCGAGCTTGCAACAATGATAAGGTTTTATCTCTTCCAACGTGAGCTGCTAGACCACCAACATTGAGTTCTTGAATTAGCCGCATTCTCAGTGAGGCATTTGGTATACATAGCTAATTTCCTTTAAATAAATATCCCTTTTGGAGAGAATAATCTAAAATTGGCCGGATTGAATTGCATTTGTTCCACGGTTCAGCAAAATCTGAATCATCTGATAGATTCCACACCAATGATGCTAGTTTGCAGGGACAAGAGAAGGTTAGCTTGTCTCTCAAAGCATCAGCAACTTTGTTAGTCCCTCCAGATTTATGAATTAGAACGAAACTAATTTTTTGCAAAAAAAAAACGATCCATCACATGTGCATTCGATTCAAAGTTTCTTAGAGACCGATAATCACTATACAAAATGAATTCTTGGTGAAGAAGATAGTTCTCCCATTGTTTTAGTGCTCTTATGCAACATATAATTCCTGTTCATATGTGAACCAACTTTGACGTGGCGGACTCAGCTTCTCGCTAAAGAATTCCATGGGTTTTCCTTCCTGCGACAAAACTGAACCAATCCCAATTGTGGGGGCATCAACATCAACTTGGAATTGTTATTGAAATTCGGGAATGCTTAATACAAGGGCTACACACAAGTTGTTTTTGATAGTTTCACAGTTTCTTTGTTGCTCCAGCCCCCCGGTAAATTTTTTTTGTATGAGGGCACTGTGATTGGTCCCATAATTGTGCTAAAACCTCTTATGAATAGTCAATAGAAATTGGCGAAACCATGAAAACATTGAATCTCTGAAACAGTAGATGGAGGAGGCCACGACTTGATGGCTTCAACCTTCCGTAGGTCAATATGGACATCTAAATTATCAATAATGAACCCTATAAAATGCATGCTCGAACTAGCAAATTCACACTTGGGCTTGTTAAAATATAACTTTTGCTCACGTAGAACTGATAGTATAGCAGTCAAGTGCTCCAGATGATCCGATAACAAATAGCTGAAAACTAAGATATTGTCAAAATAAACGATGCAAAATTTATCAAGAAAAGATTTGAGGAATTCACTGATGAGTCACAAAAATTTTCTTGGTGAGTTACATAACCTGAACGGCATAACAAACCATTCATATAGCCCTTCTTTGGTTTTGAAGGTTGTTTTCCATTCATCACATTCACAAATACGGATTTGATGGTACCCACTTTTTAAGTCCAGCTTGGAGAAAACGAATGCGCCAGCAAATCAGTCTAGCAAATCCTCAAATCCTGGCATAGGAAAACAATATTTTATGGTGATTTTGTTTATAGTTCAATTGTCTACACACATTCGCCAACTTCCATCCTTTTCAGGGACTAGTAAGACTAATACCGCGCACGAGCTGAGGCTATGGCGAATTACTCCTTGCTCAAGAGTTCTTCAATGATTTCTTTTAGTCGGCCTTGTTCTTTTGGGCTCATTCAGTAGTAGCGAAGGTTGGGTAAGGTTGCTCCTAGAATCAGATCAATTTGGTGTTGAATTGATCGGATTGGAGGCAGTTGTCTCGGCGAATCAGCAGGCATAACATCAGCAAATTGTTGTAGTAAATTCTGGACTTCCTTTGGTGGATTAAGGTCATCAATAGCTACAGTTTCAGCTACATGCTTTGTACAATGAACTGGGAACCAGAAATGGAGATAAAAACTGACCTAACTGCTAGAGGTGACCCTCCATCAAGGGGTGTAAACGAACCGAACACGAACGAATAGAGCTAGTATTCGTGTTCGGTTCGTTTGAAATTTAGTTTGTTTGAAATAAGCTCGTGTTCGAAATTGCTCGTGAAGTCACTGTTCGTGTTTGTTTCTTAACGAATGAGCCGAACACGATTTGTTCGCGAACGACGAGCCAGTTTGACATCCCTAATATTAATATATATAAATAATATATTATATTAATTATACAACTTATATTATATAAATACATAATATCTATATTAATATATTACTAATATAGTATATTAATATATTACTATTATTAATTTATTATATATTATAATTTATGAAATTTAATTTTTAAATATCATAAAATTTTTATATATAATTATTTTAAATTATTTTATATTTTGAACAATAAAGATTTGAACATGAATGAACGCATCACTGTTCGTGTTTTGTTCGTTTAACTAACTGAACGAAAAAAAAAATTGTTCACGTTCGTCTCGTTCGTCTCATTTACGAACTCATTGACGAACCGAACACGAACTGTTCGCGAACAACAAGCTTTTTTGACAGCCCTACGGCTCTATGCTGCGATGCAAAAGAGCTGTCTAGCAACAGCCTGATTCTTTTACGTTGTCATTCAAACATTTATGCATTACTTCTCCTATCATACCAAGCCCCGGTGTCGTATTGCCAAGGCCTACCAAATATGATATGACATACATCCATGTCTATAACATCGCATACAACTTCACATTTATATTACCTTTCTATGGAGAATGAGGCTTGACATGAATCAGTCACTGTCAGTTCCGTGTCTTTCTTTACCCAACCAAGTTTATATGGATTTGGGCGTTTGGTGGTTTTTAATAACATGGCTTTAACTATCTTTTGTGACACTATATTCTACGTGCGTCCACTGTTGATAAGTAGATCACAAACTTTTCCCATAACAATGCATCTAGTGTGGATAATTCGATGTCGTTGAGATGTATTAATTTGTTTAGGAGCCAACAAAAATCTTTTCCAAGATACAAGATAAGAATTCGCCGTCATCTGCTACAAGATCTTCACAATCATCAATCGGCGGTAATGTAGGAGAGCTATCATCCAACTCTTGTTCGCCTTCCATCAGTTGAGCTTGTCGGCGGTTAGGACAGTCATTGGAACGATACCCCAGCTGAAAGCAACATAAGTATTTGGACGGCTATGGCTTGTTGTAAATGTTGTCTTTGATAGTGTTTGGCTTAAATTGTCCCTCTTCTTTCACAGCTAGCTGATTTGGAGACTTTTGGACTTGAAGGGAGTTCACCTTTGCATTGGAAATTGAAATTCTTTGCTGATCAGTGGGTTGATCCCCCATGGGTCGCTTTCAAGTGTAAGTTTTGAAGCTCGACAAATTTGCAATTCAGCTTTATAAGCAATGTTAACAGACTGGGATACTGACCAAATAGTGTTCATCTCTAATTTTCCTTGAATAGGTTCTTTGAGACAGTCAATGTATCTCTCCACTAACTATTGATCTATTTTATTCAGACAATTACAGGCACTCAATCTATAAAACTCCTCAGTGTATTCACTAGTGTTGTGGTTTCCTTGAGTGCATTTTTGATATTGTAAATATAACATTTGTTCATAATCGGATGGTAGGAAATGGCTTCTCATCAGCTGCCACAACTTTGTCCAACTACTTATACAACTCCGGCCTTCTTTCCTGCCGAAATGAGTTAATTGAACCCACCAAGCGCAGCTCCCCCTTTGAGTTTACAAGAAACATACTTAACTTGTAGTCGAAAAAGGACTTGAGCAATTGCTCTCAATCTAAGTAATCTTCTATGTGCAAATGACCGTCAAATAAGGGTATGTCAATTTTCACCTTATAATCTCCAACATTTTGACCTTCGGAATGGCGAGGTTTGTAGTTGGACTCCCAAGTGGGGATTTCAGCCTATGAATCAGAGTCAGGAATGATTACACACCGGCAAAGACATTGGTCCTCGTCAAACAAAGGATTTTCATTACGGCCGATTAACTCTTGTCTTTGAGATCGCCTAGGGTCTCGAGTTAACACAATGGCATCTCTAAGAGCAGGTATGGTTGCCATGCTCGCCGGTGGAAAAATTTCGATGATCCTGATTGCGCGTAGCTCGGTGCTCACCTCGTCCATGAACTTAGTGAAAATGGAATTAAGTGCATCAAAGTTGTTCAAGATGGGAGTGAGCATTGCACAAATCCTTCCAATTACAATCGTCTTCACGACTGGTATTTTGGCTTCCGTCTCCCATTAGGCTCTGATACCAACTGGTGCAGGAACCTAGAAAAAGGAGGAAGAAGAAGAACCAAGGAAAACCAGAAAAGAGAATTTTCTTTCTATCAAAAAGGAAAAGCTGTCATATACCGGAGAACCTGTCTCCTTTTCACCACTACCACATGGTAGAAAAGTCATTTCACCTAATACAAACATATATTCACTAAACAGCCATTTAATAATACTAAAAGCAAAATTAACTAATATAATAGTGGTAACTAGTAAAGGACAAGTTGCATCTCGTTGCATCAGAGCTGCAGACATTTTAAGAGTCATCCCTATGCCACAAGTGGGAATATATCACATAGTTGTCATGGAATGCCATCCATATCATGATTTTTTTTTCTCTTTACTTTGAAAAAAACAAACCAATAAAACTAAGCTGTAAATCACATATTTGAGCAAGACATAGCTTTGACCCTTCATAACAGACCTACCAAATTACATATAATATTACTGAAGACTGATTTAATGTGCTCCACACATTCAACTTGGAAGAGGAATCCATTGAGGTCTAAAATTGAATATATATAAGACTATCGAGTTACAATCGACCTGGTCAAATCATTCTTCATTGACAAGGACAAATTTGAGCCTGGTCAGAGCCAAGTTTAAGCTGCAATCAGATACCTCTAATCTAGGTCTTTGGTTCAAACCAGGATGCACCAATTTGCCTTTTAATTTATTAGAGACTAATATTCCTAATAAATGTTAGATTACAATAACTGCATAATAACTTAGATACTTGATTAGTTAGCTGCTAGTGGAATATATGACCCACTACAGTTTGGCATAGCAGTTTTTGTTTTTTTCCCCGGATAAGTTATTTTCTGCAATAGAAATTACTGCTGTCTCGGGATTGCAATGACAGCCACTACTTGTCTAGATGAATGCCTAATTGACCACACAGAAAATAATGACATGAAACATACAAATATATTCATAAAGAAAATTACATCTCACAAAAATCCAAATCTTCCTTTAAAGATCAAAGTTTTACTTCTATATATTTATTTTCAATTTTTTTAAGATTTTTCAAATACTAAACCCAAATTAGCAAATTTCTCGTTAAAAAAAATATTATGGGAGATGATTTTAAATTGGAGTAAACATCACATAATAAAGGCAATTTAATGGCTCAAAAGAATATTATAGACTAGGACAAATCACATCCAAAGTTATACAAACTTTAAAATGCACAAAATAGGGCAAAAAAGAGAAGAATGAATTAAACTGGCCAAACCACCAAGCTAGGACAAGCCATATCAAATTGTTCGCTTGTGCAATCTTATATATAAGAAGTGACATTTGGGCCATTCATGATGTCAAACAAAATCGGGAAACCATCATTATTTTTTCTTTATCATAAGACTACACAGCTCCTTTTGGCTTCATCATAAACATCAGAATGACCCTCAATGTAGGTACCATTGCTTCTCATTAGAATGAAAACATCTGTTTTAAGCTCGTATCTTATTATGGAGTTGTAACCCATTCCCAATAGAAACTTGATATCTTTGCCATCTTCTTATATTGCACCATCTCCAAAAGTTGGGGGCGGTGATACCCAGTCCTTACCCAATCCCAACGTATGATTCAAAGTGGTGGGCCAAATCATAACCCCATCCCTTTCAAAAACTTCCCTAAATAAAATGGGCTTACCTTAGTGGGCAAAGTGTCAAGCCATTTATCACTAATATTCCAAACTACAATCGAGTAACTCAAAATATAAGGAGGTACATATCTGATCACATTTCGACCCTCTGTTTTTTTTTTTTTTTCTTTTATTTTTATTGTTTTTTGCAATGTCTCAACCATGAAGAATAAATGGGTGTGCAAGGCCACATGTGACTCCACTGAGTGAAGAATGGCTGAGATAAGCAAGTGTTCAATCCAAGTTTGCAAGGGCCCCCACCTGAGTCCAAACATCTAAGCCCAAAAGTTATTTTGGACTCCACTAATCACAAAATATATGACCCTTTAATTACAAAAGCAGGGAATTTCACAAAACCTACTTCAATTAGATAAGATGAGGTCCTTTCTGCTCAATTACTAACTTGAGAATTGTAAACTTCTAATTTAAACTACAGGGGTATCATGTATCTCAAGAAGGTGGTGCTGAACCAGCTAACTCTATACACTTTGAAGATGAGAATCTTGCTTCTGATAAGTATCAGGAAATAGTATTCAGTTCACCAGTCCCTGAGAAAAAAATTTCTTTTTAGAACCCAATCATTCCAATGTCCCATAACCGTTCCCACAATCATTAGATGAGTTGACTAGATTGCCTCAACTTCAGTTGCTCAAGGAAATAACAAGTAAATGATTAACGAACCATAAGCACAAGAACAACTCATTAAGAATAGGAAAGGGAAAAAGGAGTCATTAACCATAGGGCAAACCTTATTCCTAGTTTCCGCCACTTAGTCCTAAGATCATAAGTTTCAATGAATTACTAGCACTGAATCCAAAACCTCGCAGTCAAATGGATAGCAGAGTATTATTAATCTTTCAAATGTCAGAGTAAAACTGATGCAACGAAACTTCAATATCTCACCAGTCAAATTTTCGGGACAAAAATTGAAAACTTACCAGCTATTTTCCTTTCCCTGCAGTCGATCGCGAACGAAGTCTCGCAACGCTTCTCTGGTTCTCCATTCCCAACGACTTCACTGCGCCGTCTCCCTAAACAGGAAAGGCGAGGGACCAGGAGTGTGATCAGTGAGAAGCAGAGCTAAGCAGTAGGAATGGATCTACTTTCTGGAGCAGCAGGATTTTAACTAGATTTATAAGTAATTATGAAAATCCGAACTTACCAAATCTGAATTTAATAAAATTTGATTTACTCCATTTATCCTAAATCCATAAACTAAATTCAGCGTAAAACCTATTAAAAAGGAATTACCAAATGGCCCTATATTAGGTTCGTGTTTATTGTGAGGTCCTAGCTTATGTTCGAACTCAAGACTCAATATTTTATCATATATTATGGATTTAAATTTCAAAAATTGATTCAAATTTTGGGTTAGATGGGGACTTGAAATAAATGAGTCGAGCTACGACCCAAAGTCCTGGGTAGAAATTTTTTTGAGGTGATTTTGAGCCAACCCCAATTTGGCTCGAAATCGGATCATTAACAACACTACTTCAAATTATCATGTACAAGTTAAATCTCAAAAAATATTTGAAATGATAAATATTAAATTTGATTTAACTGAAATAATTTTTATCATTTATTTCAGAGTGTAAGTATATTCTCTAGTGGCGATTTAGACTATGCCAGATTTACTAAATTAATTAGACCATATTTAGCTCATGATAACATTCCAATTGATTTGTAAGTGATTGGGCGTCCCCTAGAAGTAACGCACAGTATAGCCTGAATATAGTAAAAAGTGTGCAAGGGCCACTAAATTGGCGCCCGGGTGTAGTGTCAAATAAGCAAGAGTTCCTACATCACGGAAGAATGCGGGCAAATAAGTTAGTTCATGAAACTAATGAAACTAATATTAGGAATGAATCTTGTACTATAAGTACTCTCAATGGTAAATTAATGGAATTAGTTGATATTCTGATTCATAGAAAAATTAATATAAAAATTAATATATTATGTATTCAAGAAACTAAATGAGTTGGAGAAAATGCTAAGAATATTGATAATTTAGGTTTTAAACTTTGGTATTATGGTAAGAGTCACACTAAAAATGGTGTAGGTGTAATTATTGATAAGAGTTTGAAAGATAATGTTGTAAAAATTAATAGAGTTGGTGATAAAATTATAGCCCTTAAAATTATCATTGATACTAAGATTTTTAATATTATAAGTGCTTATGCTCCTCAAGTAGGTTTAGATACAGGGTCTAAATATAAACTTTGGAATGACTTAGAAGACTTAATACAAATGATACCTCTTGAAGAAAGATTTTTTATTGGAGGAGATTTAAATGGACATGTCGGTAGAGTGGTAGAAGACTTCAAATATACTCATGGTGACTACGGTTTTCGAGTAACTAATGAAGAACGTAGAGCTATTTTAGATTTTATTAATATTTTATTCAAGAAAAGAGATGAGCATCTTATTTCTTATAAGAGTGGATCTAATAAAACACAAATTGTTTATTTTCTTATGAGAAGAAGATATCGCCGAGATTGTAGAGATTGTAAGGTCATTCCAAATGAGAATTTAAGTACCCAACATCGTTTATTAGTTCTAGATTTTAGGATGAAGAGTTATAAAATAAAGAATGACTCATCATCGTAGAATTAGATGGTGGAACCTAAAAGATACAAATAAAATTTACAAATAAAATTATTTTATAAAATTATTTTTATGAGTAAAATTTAAGATTTCAAAATTTGGGATGTTCATGAAGAAACAAATGCTATGTGGAATAAAGTAACAAACAATATCAAATAAGTAGCAAAAGTTATGCTTGGAGAATCAAAAGAAAAATGTTTTATAAATAAAAATAGTTGGTGGTGAAATAATAATGTGCAAGAAAAGATAAAATATAAGAAGTTATGTTATAAAAATTGGTTTAAATGTAAAAGCTTAGAGAACTGGGAAAAATATCAAGCAGCGATCAGAGAGTCTAAAAGAACAATCTATGACGCTAAAAATTTTGCGTTTAATGATCTTTATAATATATTAGATACTAAGGATGGTGAAAAATATATGTATAAGCTAGCTAAACAAAGAGAGAAGAAAAGTAAAGATTTAACTCAAGTAAAGTGTATTAAAGATGAAAAATCAAAAAGTACTTTTCTTAGAAAAAGATATTCAACATAGTTGGGTGAGTTATTTTGATAAAATTTTTAATGAAGTTTCTGAAAATACGATCGACCTTAGTGATCTTAATATCGTGAATACTAATAAAACGTTTCATTTTTACTGTCGCATTAGTAAAAAAGAAGTTGAGGAGGCTTTAAAGAAAACCAAGGGTGGAAAGTCTGTAGGACCTGATGATATCCCAATTAAAGTGTGAAAATATTTAGGAGATTGAGAGTTTCTTGGCTTACTAAACTCTTTAATATTATTTTAAAAACTAAAAAATGCCTGAGGAGTGGAGGAAGAGTATTTTGATCCCCATTTTTAAGAATAAAAGGGGATGCACAAGATTGTGCAAATTATAGAGGAATTAAGTTGATATTTCATACTTTAAAATTATGGTAGAGGGTAATTGAACATAGGTCAAGACACATTACATAGATTTCTCATAATCAATTTGGATTTATGTCGGGCAGGTCTATTATGGAAGCTATACATTTATTGAGAGGTTTGATGGAAAATTTCAGAGATAATAAGGAGAATCTACATTTGATTTTTATTGATTTAGAAAAAGCTTACGATAAGTTTCCAAAAGATATCCTTTGGGGAGTTCTTGAGAAGAAAGGTGTTGATATGACTTATATTCAAGTCATTAAAGATATGAACACTAGAGCTGTTACTTGTGTTCAAACTGAAAGAGGATTGACCAAATATTTTCTTATTTATGTTGGATTACATCAGGGATCGGATTTAAGCCCGTATCTTTTTGCTTTAGTTATGGATGGTCTTACTGGACATCTACAGGAGGATGCACCCGTGTAGGCTTTTTGCTGATGATATCCTTCTCGTGGATAAAACGAGAGAAAAAGCCCAGGAAAAACATGAATTATGGAGGTTTACATTGGAGTCTAAAGGCCTTCATTTAAGTGGAACTAAAACTGAATACATGGAATGTAATTTTAGTAGTAGCAGCTCTAGTGACAGAAGTGTAACTTTGGGTGATCAAATTATTAAAAGGTGTGAACGATTTAGATATCTTAGGTCTGTTGTTCAAAGCGATGGTGATATAGATGGGGATGTTAATAGTAGAATTCAAATTGGTTGGTTGAAGTGGAGGAATGCTTCAGGCCTTTTGAATGGATGTGAATGTTGGCCTTTAAAAGAGAAGCATAATAATAAGTGTTGTCGAGATGATAATGATTAGGTGGATGAGTGGCTTTACACTTAGAGACAAAATGCAAAATTAATATATTCGTGATAGGGTTGGTGTAGCTCCTGTGACAGGCAAAATTAGAAAAAGTCGTCTTAGATGGTTTTGTCACATTAAACGTCAACCATCTGATGATCCAATTAGGAGAGTAGATGTTTTAGATTCGACTTGTGTTAAGAAGGACAGAGGTAGATCTAGGAAGACTTGGGCTTATTGTATAAAAAGATGATCTTAATTTACTAGAACTAAACGAAATTATGACACTAAATAAGGCGCAATGGAGAAAAAGGATTCATGTAGCCGACCCCAAGTAGTGGATTAAGGCTTTGTTGTTGTTGTTGTTGTAACATTCCAATTGATTATTAAATAATAGTGTGGGGTGAAGCAATAAGAAAATAAATTATATTTTGTCAAATTTAAGTAAATAAATTTAAATTAATTAAGCTAATATTTTAATTCATTAACTATCATCATTAATAGTAACTTTTTGGCAATCATAATTACACTTATTAAATTATAATTAATGTAACATAATATTTAATTAATCATTGATTCTGAATTTATAAACCTAATTAAGCATATGAATGATTAGTTAATAAATTAAATCATTTATAATTAATACTATCTATTAAATTAATTCCAAAATTAACCTTATAAATTTTCCTAAATATAACAAATAACCAAATCCCTTTCTTCTCTCACTTCCATCTTTTCTATCCAAAACTCTCATCCAAATAGGAAGCGCAGAGGTGAGGAGCTAATTAAAAAGTAGTTTTTGAAGCTGTTAAAAAATAATTTGATATTAAAAAAGTTGAGGTGTCTATTATATTTTTTTCCTGAAAAAGTTAAACCGCAAACAGAAAGTTATCACCGCACCTAGCAAGGACCGGTGGGGAAACACAAATTTCAATGACAACTTTTTGAAAAAAACTGTCAAAATATAGTTTACTTAAACAAAATTGTGGTGCGGTGGCGCACCGCCACCACACCACCGCCCTAAACGGACCCTAAATCTCATAAAACTTCTAAATTAAAAAAAAAACTTTAAATTTAATAAATCCTAGATCTAAGCCAAAATAGAGGTTAAATGAGATTAAAAGGATGAAAAGTGGAAAATTAAATAATTTTGGCAAAAATTGAAGTGTTAAAAATGAGTTTGAAAAGAAAATTAAGATATACCTCCTCTATAATAGAATATTTGGATATATTTTTAGAAAAAAACTATTCATATTACCTCTTGAAAGAAAAAAATAAATTTGAAATTGATTTGCAACAATAGATATTTGCAACATTTAAATGTTCTTATTGAATTGCTCTAAAAGGATTATAAAAATTGAAAGATAAGCCCCCCATAGAAACAAGTAATTTACTCTTAAGTGCACCAATATTTTAATTGATAAAAAAAAATTGATTTATAAGAATGAGCATTGATTATAGACAATCAAATAATAGGATGATTAAAAAAACATTCATTATCTAGAATTTATGATTTATTTACATAGTTGAAAAGTGCAACTATGTTCACTAAAATTGATTTATAAGTAGTATATCCTCAAATCAAACTTAAGGAAGCAATTATAATTAAAAATATTTTTTAAGACTAGACATGATTATTATAAAGGGTTTAGTAATGCCATTTGAATTGATAAATACACCCAACTTTTATGAATTTGATTAATTAGATTTTAAAGCCATATATTAATTAGTTTGTGATTATATTCATTGATTATATTTTGTAATACTCCAAAAATGATAAAAATTATTTTAAACATTTGAGAGAAAATTTAAATTATTAATGAAAAATTAATTAATAGCAAAAATTTTAAAGTATTAATTTTGGCAGAGAAGTATTGCATTTCTAGGTCATGTGTTAAATATTGAAGAAATCCAAATGAATGCTAACAAGTGAAAGAAATATTAAATTGAGTTGTGCAAGACAATTATCATAGAGGCTTATAATTTCTTAGATTTAATAGTTGGATGGTAAAAGAATTTTTAAATGGAATTCCATAGGAAGCTTTGCCTTTGTTCAAGTTAATAAGAAAATACAAATATGCATAGTAATACAAGAACATATTTCAAGAATTGATGAGGAATATAACGACTGCCCCGAAAGTTCCGGAACCGTCAGCTAGCTTTGACCTGAACTGTAGTCAAAAGTTCCCTGCACTCAAAAAGACAAAAATCGGAGAGGCACCTTTTAAGTGAAAGAATCAAAAAGTGAAAAAATCGAAAAAGTCCATTTATTGTTGTTATGATCTTCTATTTATAGAGGTCTCATAATACAATGACATGAGAAAAGGTCAATTACTATAAGTGTCTGAATGATTGAATCGACATGTTTGTCGAAATAAATATTACAAGGTAATGAAAATAAAAGTTAGCTTCGACTAGTTGTCCGAGATCTTAAGATCGATCAGTTGTATCAGTCGATCGCTTAATGATTGGGTCGACTGCACCGACCGATTATATCTTTTTCATGGACATTCAAATATAGTCAGAGAAGCATGTCTGCTTGATTTATGTTTTTCCCGTATGATAGTCTTTGTCAGCCGACACCCTATGTTGATCGGTCCTGCTATAAATTCAGTTGACTGCTTGTCGGTGAAACTTGTGTTCCCTAACTCCTGTTTGTATGCCCCTATTTCTAGTCGTTTGATTTCTTCAAAATTCATCCTGGCATATTTGTCGTATACACCACCCAATTCTTATGTATTAACATATCAACCCCACAAACCTTAATTTGTACATACAGACCACCAAATTCCTAAGTTTTCAACTCAGGTTGGGTGGTGCCTAGGGAAAAATTAAAGTTTAGGTGGTTGACAACTCATAACGGAGAACCTGAAGAATAATAGATTTTGATGTTAAAAAGCCTTTTTTTATCATATATTAATATAATATGACTGAAAACATGAAGTGCTTCAAGAACAAGTACTCGCAGCACAAAAAATGGAGCCTTGGAAAACAAAAATGCCAGCAAACTTCAACAAAAAGAAAAAGAAAAAAAAATCTAACAAATCATCTGACATTGGTTTGAAACATAAAATCTAAAATAAAAAAAATAAATTACTGAAAAAAAAGGGATGTTCAGGGCATTATCACGCAGCTTCCTTTTCAGTTGATTCTGAAGCCATAAACGCATGCTCACCCGTCTTGTCTTCCCACCATCACTCCTTAAGCCAAGGTGCAAGAGCTGGCACCCACTCACACAACTCATCTTCCTTGAACCACAGAGCTATAAGCAGGAAGGGTGAAGCCACGTTAGAAAATGGCACTCAATTATGGTAGGGAATGTATAAAATTAAATAATCACATGCAAGGAAGCTAAATGCCTCAGTATTTTGATTCATGCAGCGTAATCATTTATGAAGTACCACATTATATTGTATTTATGTATTTTGAAAGAGTTGGGTGTTGATTTAGCAAAATGTTGATTAATGATCCTCATCTTTTATCCTTTGCATGTAACACCTTGTTCGCCAATGAGGCATATGTATCAACACTATAGAAATTGAAGCCGTTATGGTATTGACATCACCATACTACTTTTCATTTTCATGTCCAAAACCAAGGATGTTTTATCATTTGGTGTGTGAGCTACTCCTATAAGATAATATTCATTGTCATTGCTAAGCACAAACATCATCAATGACTGAGGCAACTGCATGCCATTTCCCATTAAACTTGCAGGCAGTAATGTCAAAGATTTCCGATCCAGCGATGTCACTGATTAGAACATCAACGATTAGGAGAGACCGACAAAGGCCAGATAAAACCATGGAGTTGAGAGTTTTTGATGATGCCGAGCATAAGAAGAGACACAATATCAACTGGTAAAATCATAAATGAACAACCCGAACTTGGTTATATTAATAATCAAATAGTTTATTCAAATTATAAACAAATAAAATTTGAATTTTCTTTTGAAATTTGAAGATTGAATCAATAAAAATTTAAATACGGTCCAACTCATTTACTTATGTTCATGAACAAACTCATTTATTATTCAATAATTAACATGTTAAATGCTTAATTTCAAACTTAATAATTTATTTAAATGCATAACAAGTAACTTGTTAAAATGCTTGACATTAAGTTTGATAATAGCTCAATATCATGTATGATATATATTATTTAAATAAAATTTGATAAACTCCATTTATTTATTTATATTTCAATAATCGAAAATGATAATTTAATATCAATAGTATTTTAGGATTAATGATTATCATTATCCACATCATATTCACTCGATCACACTTTTTAATATTGATTCATTTATGGTATTTAAATATATAATATCTATTTATTAATTATATAATTCACATTAATCATGTAATATTATATATTTTTAATATTTTTGTACTTCCATGAATTCTGATTCACTCAGCATTAAGAGGCCTCAGCCCTTCTTTTGCCCTCTTGCAGTTCTATCTTGTTTCTTTCACACGAAGACGTCTTATCCAAGTAAATATTCATAAGTTCTTAGCTTTTTACTCTTTTTTTAAAATAACTTACTTGTCATTAATAAATATGCATATAAATTTAATATATTTCCTTTTTATTTTTCTATTTCAATAAACTACTTTGTTCGCATTTATTTATAGTATTTAATTACAATAATATTTGCTTACATCTATTTAATTAGGGTAAAGTAGTTAGATACTGATTTAGAATTTATTCAATTGCTTGTTCAGATTTATAAAATCATCTGTCAAAAGTTTTGTATGAAAATCCTAATACTCGTATGATTTTTAGTTTGTTTATCAACTCGTTGAAATACTCATTTAATTAATAGAGGCAAGCCAAATATAATAATTAAAAATTTTAAACAAGCTAAGTATGAGCATACATGTGAAAGTTTGTCTCAAGCTCGAGTCAAACATATACTTATAATATGACCAAGCAAAACCTGAACCACAACATACTTGACTCAGCACGCTAATAGCCTTATCGATGGGACAACCGGAAGAAGAAACAAAACGGAGAAAATAGAAGGAAATACATACAAGAGCATAGGGAAATGCAATGACACTGTATAAAAATGAGGAAGATTTTCTAGAAATTTATAGTAAAAGCTAGGTGTAAATAGAGGAGAAAATACAACACTCAATGATGAATAGAAAATGATACAGATCTTGTACTGCCACATAAAAGAAAAAAAAAAGCTTTAAGCAAATTCTACAGTAAATGTAAAAACACAAAATTTCTGCCTTACCAACTTCACGATGCCCATTATCAGGGCTGTCACTTCCATGAACAACATTTCTGGGAAGAAAACAGAATCTCTTTTACAAAAACTATAAGAAGCACAAAAAAGCACAGGAAGAACTATCCATGCAAATAGACATAAAAATAGAGCACACGGCTAAAGAAAGAAATTGAAAGGGCTCCTCACCTCCCAGTCTGAACAGCTAAATCACCCCGAATAGTTCCTGGATCAGCTTGAAGCGGGTTTGTTGCTCCAATAAGCTTCCGAGCTGATGCAACTACTCCAATACCCTCCCATGCCTTCTTGGAGAAAAAGAAAACAAAGATGGAATGATTAAATGGTCAATGTAATTGATTTCTACTTCATTTTTTAAAAAAATTAAACATTGCATCTTAATTGCAACATTATTAGGCAGTCTCTAGTGGCATACCATACACACGACCGGACCAGATGTGATGTAGTTTATCAACTTAGGATAGAAACTTTTGTCCTTCAGTTCTTTGTAATGCTCCTAATTAGAAAAAAAAAACAGGGATCAGGAAAAAATGCAAATGATATTCAAATCTTTTGCACGTATTGACAGATATGTAAAGAAGAAGATTAAGGAAAGGTTTCTTCCATTTGAAGTATTAAATGAAGAAAAATGTTAAAGATTTGAGAAACTCAATCGTCAATTAAAACTACGAATATTATACATCATCCTCAAGAATATCGAGTGATTATAGTCCCATTTGATATCCAGGTGATTGTCTAGTCCTCATCTCTGCTACTGCACTAGCTAAGAGCTAAAAACATAATAAATATTTCATAAAACATATTGATCTTTAAAGAAAAAGGCCCTTGAGCTTTATAAAGTGTGACAACTTGAGCTCCATTAATTTTTATAAAGCACTTGTTATTTTAGGTTTTTGAATTTTCTTTCTCAAAAAAAAACAAGTGTTATTTTAGTTTTTATAACATTGTTTTTTCTCATGAAAATTCTATAGATTAGAATGAGAAGGAAAATTAATAGAAAATGAGAAATTTTGATACTGAATTTTTTTTCATTTTTTTAAATAAATATATAAAAAAGTTATATAGAAATAAGTCAAGAAGTAATTGTTAAGTTGTAAAGCCTGGAAGAGCACCCATAGTCGCAAGGAAGCAGCCCAACAATAGGTTAAGCACCCAGGAGGGTTTTTGGCGTGACGCTCCCGCGCCTGCAAACAGAGACCGTGGCACGCCCTTGCCGCATTTCGGGCGCCTGTGTGCATGGTTCCAGAGAGCACAACACTCTCGTGCCAAGTAGAGTTGAGGGCGCGCCAGGTGCAGTTGTCTCTTCTCATTCGGTTTAAACCTTCAATTCAAGCAATGAAGGTTATGACACTCATGTGCGGTGTTCCAACAAAGTCCTCGTGAAGCAAAAAAGAGTTGATAAGGAGGATTTTGGCATGCAATTTCTCTTGTGAGATCAAAAGGAAGGGCTTGGAGCAAAGTTCTATAAGTTCCATTTCTTGTAGAGAAAATATCAGACTGGATATTTATAAATATTTATGATTCTTCATAGTGAAAATTTCTGGTATTGTGGCTCCGTGAATTTTTCCCATTCTCGGGATATTCCGCGTTAAATCTTAGTGTAATTTTTCTAAAATTGTTTAGTTGTTCTATTTTTCAATTTTTTTTTTCTGGATTTCTCGAACCTGTGGGATTCTATTCCGTGGTCTGGTTTTGATTTCTAATTGATTGAAACCCTAGAATTATACAAGATTCCATCCCAACAATAACTATCTATGAATCAATCATTAATCATGAAATACATAATTAACTGCACAATAAAAATGAAAAGTTGTTTGCTATGGATAGAAACTAAATTTATATGAAATATTTGATTTTTATAGATGAAAAATTGTCTTCAAATTATTTTTTTAATGTAAATTCAAGGAAACCTCCACAGATTCATGATTATTTCAATCATGTCCCTCAAGTTGGGTTATACAAATTGAACATGCCCATCTTATTTATTTGATTATCAAAACTTATTTTGGGTAAAGCAATGGTGAGGACATATTTTGCTTGCGAAATGAATATATCCGTGATAAGGTTGTTGTAGCTCCTCTGAAGAAAGTCATCGTAGATGGTTTGGTCACATTAAACGTCGACCATCTGATGATCCGATTAGGAGAGTATATGTTTTAGAATCGACTTGTGTTAAGAAAGGCAGAGGTAGACCTAAGAAGACTTGGGCTTATTATATAAAAAAAAATCTTAATTTAGTAGAATTAAATGAAAATATGACACTAAATAGGACGCAATGGAGAAAAAAGATTCATGTAGCCGACCGCACATAGTGGGATTAAGGCTATGTTGTTGTTGTGGTTGTTGTTGTAGTCTGTCGTAAATCACAACATAATTTAGCTAGGTTTGTCATTTTTTTTTTTTTTTGTAGATGAAATATGCCTTTCTCAATGTGATTAGATCCTTCATGATGAACAAATTCTTTTGTAATACTTATTATGTTATGGTATGACTCATATACCATATAAGAGACAGATGCTGGAACAAAGCGGAGCAGAGCGGAAGAATCTGTTCAAATCAGAGGAGTATCATTATGTGGGTTGGGGGTGCAGGGACAACGCTCCGCGGTACGGTACAGAGATAATTTGAGAATTACATATTGTACTCAGGATTTTCTCTAGGGTTATATATAGAGACCTGTTTGTAATCCTAGGTCATTCTATTCTGTATTATGTACTTTTTTTCTGGAGTTGAAGGAAAGCCGCTCTACTCCCGAGGACGTATGCATATTTGTTGAACCTCATTAAATCTCTGTGTGTTCTTCTGGATTTATGTTGATTCTTTTCTTCGGCTTAATTTCTTAATAAGTGGTATCAGAGTCTGGTTCTAGAGCAGAGGAGAAAGATCGGCGTAGGGACGAAGAGGATGTGGTGAATTCTGCATATTTGTTCGACTAGGGCATCGAAGGTTCGACAGAAAGTGCGAATTGAGGGAGTTCGGCGATGGGCTGCGAGCAGTTTCGGCACAAATGAGGCTTCAGCAGTTTGGATCGCGACAAGAAGGTCGAATTCGGCGAAGCTTGGGATTTGCGAATTGGGCGTTCGACGCAGACCAGGGATTTGTGAATCGGGTGTTCGACGAGGCCTTCTTCTGCGACCACTGGAGTTCGCGAGACCAGGCGAGAAGGCAGCGACACAGAGGAAGCGCAACGAGCAGTCCAACGCTCTGTTCGACGCGGGAGGCAGTCGAGCGGCGAAGCGTGGGAGCAGAATTGGAAGGGAGAAGGAATCATTGGTTTTCTTAATCAGGAAAGGAAATTCTCCTAAAATTGCTTTTATGGGAAACTTAGTTAAAGAAAAAACTTAATTAAGGAAACTTAATTAAGGGAATATTTCAATCCTTTTTCGGAAAGATTCTGTTGTTTTTCTAGAAAACTTAATTAAAGAAACTTAATTAAGAAAATATTTCAATCCTTTTTCGAAAAAATTCTGTTTTGAACGAACTTGATTAAAGAGAAATAGTAATTTCTGACTTCAACAATTTTGGAAATTCAGTAGAGGAATTTGCAAAAGAGTTCGTGACAGGGTCAATTTTAAATGACAATTTTTGGTACAAAATTCGTGGTAGTGAAGTTCGAGGAACTGGTAACTTCGGATTGTGGCAAACAATAGTCAAAGATTTGTTAGTGCAGCAAAGGATCTTGAAGGCTTTGCGGGTAACGAAACCAGATGTCATGGAGGATGAAAATTGAGAAGAATTGCAACAACGAGCGGCAGTAACCATATGTTTATGACTAACAGATGAGATTATGTATCACGTGATGAATCCGAAATCTCTAGAGGAGGTATGAAAGAAATTGAAAACTCGGTTTATGTCCAAATCTCTGACGAATAAATTGTCTATGAAACAAAAAACTGTATGGGCTAAAGATGCAAGAAGACTTTGATCTAACACAGCACGTGAATGACTTCAATCAAAGAATCACAAATTTGTCACGGCTTAATGTGAGTATCAAAGATGAAGATCGAGCAATGATTTTGTTGTGTTCATTATATTCATTATATGAACATCTGGTAACTACTCTGACATATGAGAAAGAAATCATCAAAGTTGATGAGATTACTGTATAATTGTTGGCTCACAACCAACAAAAATAGAATGCAGCGGAAAACTCTCATGAAGATCGTGGAAGGAAGAAAGAAAAAGAGGGTTCTGAAAGGCGAAATTCCAAATTAAAGTCCAAATGCAAAAAAAAAACAATTTATTGCTACAAGTGTAAGAAGTCATGTCACATGAAGAGAGATTGTTCAAAGCTCAAGAAACATACTGAGGAGAAACATGATGCATTATCGAAGTCTAAATTTGGTGCAGAGTGACAATTCAAATTGCAGTGATGGCGATATACTTTCAGTTTCATCAACTCAGTTCATGAATGCATGGATTCTTGATTCAGGATATTCTCATCACATAACACATAACAGAGAGTGATTTACTTCATACAAGTTAACTAATTCTGGCTCAGCCTATTTAGGTGACGATAGATGTTGCAATATTGTTGGTATTGGTGAAGTCAAAATTCAAATGTATGATGACACTGTTAGAACATTATGTGATGTATGTGATATTACAGATTAGAAGAAAAATTTTATTTCCATGGGCACTTTACATAGAAATGGTTTTATTCCTAAGGCAGATGAGAATAGGGAAAACATCTAAGAGAAATTGTTTCATTCCTAAGGCAGATGAGGATAGGGAAAACATTAGAATAGTTAAGGGTACACTGACTGTGATAAAAGGAAAGTTAACTGCAGGTAATATCTACAAACTGTTAGAGAGTACACTTGTAGGTGTACTTCATTCTGTAGAGTTAGATGATGATAATACAAAGTTATGGCACATGCGTTTGCGTCATCTTAGTGAACGTGGGATGACGAAATTGCATAGAAGAAATATTTTGCATGGTGTTAAAAGTTGCAAGCTCGATCTTTGTAAGTTCTGTGTTCTTGTTCTTGATACTAGAGTCAATTTTATGACTGGAAAGCACAAAACTGAAGGGATTCTTGATTATGTGCATTCTGATGTATGAGACTCTATTAGGAAATCTTCATTGAGAGGATCTCTGTATTTTGTTACATTTATTATTGATTTCTCCAAGAAAGTTTGTCTATTTCTTGAAGCAGAAATCTGAAGTATTCTCTAAATTTAAGCTGTGGAAAGCTGAGTTGGAGAACTAAATTGGAAGAAATATCAAACATTTAAATCCGATAATGACACAAAGTACATATATTCGCAATTTCAGAAGTTCTGTGAGGAGCATGAGATTCAAATACATTTTTCAGTGCACAAAACACCACAACAGAATGATGTGACAAAAAAGGATGAACACGTCCTTAACTGAAAGGGCAAGATGCTTAAGACTGAATGCAGAGTTTCCTCAGAAGTTTCCTAAGAGTTTTTGGGCGGCAGAGGCTGTTGTTGGCATCATTTTTTGATGTCATGTGTGTCGGGGGGGCATCG